TCGGGCTGAAGCCCCCCCCCCCAAAATGGAAAAATATAACCATGTTTTATCGAACAAAATATTAAAAAAGTAACTCTTAAAGTATTATTGTTCGTGTGATTAATATTAAAAGGGCTTTAGGAATCACTTAAACACCATTTCATACAGGTAGTTAGTTTCTTTCTTTTTTTCCAAAGTAATTATCGTAATTTTTATGAAAAAAAAGCTTTCGGGCTGAAGCCCCCCTCCCCAAAATTAAATCCTGGATCCGCTAGTGAGGGCATGTTACCATCACTGAAGGTGTTCAAGTAATGAATATACTAGCGATATATATATATATATATATATTTTTATATATATATATAATAGTTATATATATATAGTTATATATATATATATATATATATATATATATATATATATATATATATATATATATATATATATATATATAATAGTTATATATATATAGTTATATATATATATATATATATATATATATATATATATATATATATATATAACTAATATATATATTTATAAAATATGTTTAGTCCGGATATGCTTTATGCCATCTTCAGCTTTTGGTCATACCGTGACCTACCCCAGGATTTTTCTGGTGACGCGGACACAACTTATTTTTTTTTCTTACGGTTTAATTTTTAACAATAAATATAATACATTTTATTTGTAATATATTTTATTTAAAAAGATCCATTGTATAAAGGTACATGCCGCTTCAATCTTATATTTATTATAGATATTACTAATTATGAAATGAAAGAACATGACTTACACTGATTAGAATCGATTGATGCTGGAAGATTTAAGTGACCTCAAATTTCTAATTTTTTTAGAATTAAGATTGCGAGAACGTTAAATCTTGTATTTTTTTATTCAAAAACAATGGGTGAGGAATCTTGCCGTTAGAGGCCGCATTGAAATTTAGGAATGGCTATAAAAGTATTTATATTTCAACGTGGGTATTTTTATTTGTTTAAACATATAGAAAGAAATTACAAATTTCATATTGGAAGCCATATAATAATATATTAATGAAAATCAGAGATGCCATTCATGAATAACAAATAAAAACTCACACACATACACTCTTGGCGACTGCAAGTTTAGGCTCAGCCTACGAAATAGTCACTTCAATTTTCTTTGAATCTCATTAAACCTTTTGTAGAAAATTTATTATTTAAAGTACTAGTACGTGGTAATTGCGATTATAAGCTAACTTGTTGAAATTGACTCTTAAATACCGAGAATTGGAATAGATTTCATAGAAAATTCGATTCGTGTGCCAAAAAAGAAGTTTTAAGAAATGTTCATACTGGGGGAAAACCAGGATTAGTTAGCACGATTCATTATAATCTAAACAGATGCTATAAATTGATAAATTACTAGAATCGAGAGGATAGTTTTAGAATTAGTGGTAGAAAATGTGTAAAAGTATTAGTATTGGTAATAGATTAGATACAGGAATTTAAGGAGAAATATCAGCTGATAATAAATACCCTCAAAAAGAAGAGAAAAAACAGTGTTACAGAATCATGCACAGGCGGATCTACGGGGGGGGGGAGGGGGCTTTCGGGCTGAAGCCCTCCAAAATTAAATCCTATATTCGCTAGTGGAACCATGGCCATCACCACAACCTCCTCACTGCCTCATAAGATTCGACGCATATGCATAACCTCCGATTCCATTACTGGTCTTATAACTTCACCATTCTTATCTCAATCATAAATAACACTTCTTTAATCAATAAGATTGCTAATTTATTCTCCCCTCTCTCCTGTCTTACAACTTAAAGCACTTCTGTGATACAATTTCAGTGTTTTCTCATAGGTTTTAAGGACCATCTAATATAAAATTCACTATTTCTAAGTCTAGAATCGTGGTTAACTGCATCCAAGAACTATTTTCTGCTCTTTGAGACAGGCCACTTTGCCAAGCCTTGAACTTGCACAAACAACCCATTATTTACAAAGACATTATAACATATTTACTCCTTTCTTGAGTTTAACGCCCTTAGTTTTCCCATCGGAAAAGGATGGGTGAGATTTTGTTGGAAACCTTCCGATCTGGCCGGCGTTCAAGGCACAGATCCCCATCTGAATTGATCCTAATTACTCAGGGACACAATGTTGAGCGTATCTAATCGGAAAAAAAGGTCACTAATAACGCTTTATAAAATTAATAATAAATTATTCAATGTTGCAATAAAGGGTATTAAGGGTTGATTCATCCAAACAGTGATTTTCTTTTCTGTTTTACTGTTTCTTCATTAAATTATGTATACCTAATTTATTAGTCTTCTGTTTCCTGGATACATTTGACAGTATTATCAAATTGCCTTATAATGATAGGCAATTGATTAATCTTTGAGATGTCAGACGTCTAGGCAATTGACGTCTATTCAGATTAAAATTTATGATTATTAATTATGAAATTTGTAATCAGTAACCTGAAAAACACAAGAAAACAAGTTTTCAGGACTTTACAACTTCTTTTAATTTCCAAGGATTTTAATATTATGCGCTCGCGTACATCAAATTTTGTAATAATTTTTCACATCAGCAGAGGAAACTCCAGTACACCGTATTTTTCCTAATTAAATAGTCTTTTTTTTTCTTTAAAAAATGACCTGATCTTACATTTTGAAACAGATGTTTTTAATTTATTTTCAGGTATTTGGAACTGGATCAGTTGTACCTGTTACTGAAAGTTAATTCATTTTTGTCGTCTGTAACTCACATGCATCCAAATGTTTCAAACAAAGAAATCTATTTTATAAACTCAAGATCCATAAACATAACTGAAGTTTTCAAAATCATATAAATAAAATATTATGGGTAATACATTTTTTTTTATTGTTTATAAAAATTAATATACGTAAAATTATTAAAATATTTCAATTTTATTTAAAACTATAATAAATTAAAAATCAGTTCATTTAGGCTCATCAAAATTTTTAATTTATGTGGACTGTGATCTTTCACTGTTATAGATAGTGACCAAAATATATTTATTTAGTGTAGGCATAACAAACGTAGCATTAAAAAATCATTTACAAAATAAAAATGTAATTACTTATAAGACAGCCAAATGATTACCAATTTAAACTTACCTGTTTTGGGGATGAAGCATGATAAAAAACTTTAATTACTCAAAATGGACGAAAACTAAATATGTGTACAATTTAAGCATTCATATTAAAATAATTTGAGATTAGGCAAAATAAAGAAAATACAATAATTATTGTCTTAATTATTTAAAGAGGTAATGAGTTTTTGCTATAAACATGGATATCAATTTTTCTTTTAAAACAAATAAAAATAAAAACAAATTTATAAATTAGTCATTATTTTCTCCTAGGACTAGTGACTACAGTCTGAAACATTGACACATGATTAAGGCAACTTTTAATTAGTTTTGTTTTCTGCATTTTCAACCAATTTCCCCTTAATTAAAACTAAATTTAAAAGATTTTAGTTTGCTAACAAATTATTAAAAACAATGATCATGTAGCCATGTTTTTGAAGAGAAAAGATTAGGATAAACTATCTGCCATATGAATAAAAGTAAGATTTAGTGCATTATTAGGTTTTACATTATAAGGGAAATAAAAACATTACATGAGCAATATTTTTATAGTCTTTGCTACTACAACAAATTAAGTTATTATTCTGTCTTCTATTTTTAATCAATAAAAAATTCAATATTTCATGTATCATAAATATTAAACCTGTTCCACTACAACCCATGAAGGGACTTGGATTCAGTACTATTCAGGGAAAGCACTGTTTCTTGGTCAACCGTTGTGCAAGGTTATTTGAACGAGATCATGCTCCACCACCAGGTTTTCCTTGTTAATTATTTTTTTAATTAAGAGTACCCATTTTATAGAGGCTGGGTGTGTCCCAAGAGGGTCTCCCCACATTTAATTAAATAAAAAAAATTAATTTTCTGTTATGCGTCCGATTTTGAACCTAGGACCTTGAGCATTGGAAACTCAGTGCCCTACCACTGAGCTACCCCACTCACATTTCATGCATCATATATAGCTAATATCAATACTGTATGAAAAGCACCCATGGCTTAATACATGACATCGAAAAACGCCTATAGCCCATGGAGGGCTTGGGTTCAGTTCTTAGTAAAGTAATACTTTTTTTTTTATTTATTAAAATACATTTATATGTCTTCGTGTCAGTTTCAAAGTCTACAAATTAAAAATTCTACCAAGATAAGTAACTTTGAAATGTTTTTAAACTTAAAAAATAATCAGGAAGATACTGACAATAACTTAGCACTATCATTGGTACTATATGGATGGCAGTTTTATTTTTTAGAACCTAGTTATATTTGGCTTGCTTAAGCATTTGATTGAAATACTAATAATGGAAATTCTTGTTGTTGTCTGGTGGGTGAGCAAGGAAAAACAGTAAACAAGGGAGTTGGCCAACAGTAGCATATTTACTCAATATCTATGCTTAAATATAAGATGAAGTAATTACAAATCTATTAAGGAATATACATTAGACAGACAAGTTGTACCAAAGTTTTTATTTACAATTAAAATAACTTTTCAGATCAAAACATAAAGCTGATATTCATGAATACTTAAGAAATACTTTGTAATGACAAATGATGAAATAATAATGAAAAGCATAGTAGCAGACTTTAGTTATTCATGATAGACAAATTATGTTTAACAAAATTAATACCTAGTGATAAAAAAGGAACAAGATTTGGTTTAATAAATGTTATAACATATTTTATCTATCATTAGTATCTAAATCAAGTGTGATATAGATATTCATGATAGATAAATTGAATATCTATATCACACTTGATTTAGACATTCATGACAGTTAAAAATAATTTATCTATCATGAATATCTAAATCAAGTTGGATTTAGATATTTAATTTATCTATCATGAATATCTATATCACACTTGATTTAGATATTTATGATAGATAAATTATGTTAATCTAAATTAATAGCTAGTGATAAAAAAAGGGGGGAAAAAAAGGAACAAGATTTGGTTTAATAAATGTTATAACATAAAAAACAGCATTTTCTTAAAAGCTCATTAATTATGAAAAATAAAATTAGGCTCAAAGTAGAATTAAAGGCTGTTGCAATTGTCGCTGCCTGTGCCTCCATTCAGATAAGTCGTGCAATATGGGTCTTCCAAAATGGTTATGTAATTCCCGAAATGAGACTCTGAAACAGATAGACTGTAAATTTAGTATTCTATTAACACGTCTCTATTATCAAACTAAGTTTAAATAGTATAGTAATCTATAATTGGTATATATTCATTTGTATAATGAAAAACTAATCTAAAATCATGATAATGTGAAGTACAACAGATAAAAAAAAATGGAATGAAGCAACTAACTTATGTTGTCGCTGACCATCATGGTCTGTCCTGCCTGGGGCAGATCGAATGCTATGTGAGCGGTTGTGAGAGGCTGGTGGATTGCGATTAAATGGGTTATGACGAACCCTTGGAGGAGCTACAGGTGGTCCATTAGTATTTGCATCATCATTTGGAAGAGGAACATTTACTAAAAAGACATTAGATTATGATTATTATGCTTGTAACTACTAATTATTAAATGATGATTGGTTTTATTTGTATTTCTGAAAGACATAATACAAATAGATAAAACCATAAATGAAATAATATTTAGATTCTTAGTAATTTAAGCTAAGCTTCTTTTTAGGATATAATTGAATAGAATTTAAAAATCTATTTTACTCTGGGACAAAGTCCCTTCAAAATAATAATAGTGTACAGACAATTTACATTAATTCTGGCCACAAGAACAATTACATTTTACAATGATGTAGAGATGGTTGACCGTTGATATAATATGAGAAGGAGTTAATCGGGGGGTGCAGTCAAATTAATACTAAATTAAATAAGTATAATTATTTAATTTTTGCCTTATAATTAAATATAATTATAATTGCCTTATTATATGTTTTTTATATATATATATATATATATATATATATATATATATATATATATATATATATATATATATATATATATATATATGAGCAATTATATAAATATAAATTATAATTGCCTTATAATTAAATAATTATACTTGTTTAATTTAGTATTAATTTGAGCGCACCCCCCGATCAACTCATTCTCATATTATATTTTACAATTGCATCAATCAATATTAAAACTTCTTTATTTTAGTTCAATCTTTGAAATTATGGCTATGTATGATTATTATGGCCTTGATAACGTTATACAATCATATAATGAAGAAAAATACACTTGTTTCATAAAAACTGAAACTAAAATAAAATATAAAATACTTTTATCAATAAAATTCTTAAGACAGAAAACAAGCTTCAACACTTAATATCTTTTAATTTCAAACTTTTAGATATGCAGCCACTTTCAAAGTTTGAAAATAAAGGATTATAAAGCTGGTAAAGCTTGTACAGTAAGAATTTTATGAAAAAACATCACTTCACCTTCAAAAGCTATATTACAATATTTTATTAATTAATATTTATCTCATAAAACATTATAATTAACATTTTAAAAAAAGAAAAAGAAAAAGAAACATTTTAAATAATTTTGTGGTTTTACTTCTATTTTTTCATAAATATTTTATAAGATTTATTTATTTTGAGACAGCAGCACAGCAAAACCATTACTATTGAATGCTATCGACAACAAAAAATGATTTTTCTTCATGATAATGAACCTTCACATCACACACAAATAGCAAAATCAGTGGAGGAAACGATTGCAACATTCAGTTGGAAAATATTAGTGCATGCGCCTCACTCCCTGGACTAGGCTCTGTCGAACTACTATTTATTTGCATCAATAGGGCACGAATATTTATACAATTATAAAGACTATTTATTAAAATGCACAAAGAAAATGCAGTCATGGCTTCATGTCTGCTTTGCCACAAAAGAGCAACAGTTTTTCTGGCATGGCATTCAAAACTTACCAGAGAAGTGGGAAAATGTATGATGCGAACTAGTAAATGTGCACTCAGGAATATAATAACATGAAATCGCTTGTTGAGAAACTACCCACTGATAGCACTCAAATAATAAATTTATACAAGAAGATCACGAAGCCACCTTTTTTTCAGACGCCTTGGAGGGTTATCAGGGATCGAGGAGGAAGCAAGGTTTGAAACGAGAGGGCTCGGATGGTTCTAGAGTTAGTTATGGAAGGATAGGTATCTGGATTGGGCCAAATCGGAAACATATGGAACATATGGAAGGTCTTTATAGATGATTTTATTTGTGACAAAGTAAGGAGCATTGAGGATTTTTTAAAGGATTTTGGATTGTAAGGATTGGATACAAGAGGAATTTGATGGTTTAGTGGAGCCCCAAAACTCAATTCCGTAAGGTCTTATTATTGTCACATATATATATATATATATATATATATATATATATATGAGTCATTTGTAATTAATTGAAAGCTTAGAGCGTTTGTCTAGTAAGTGCTGGAGTAGTCGGAAATGTCGAGCGGTTTCTTGTCATTTCAGTCTTGTATGAGGATTTGTTTAACTGGGATAAGTGGAGAATTGTTAAAGGATACTATAGGACAAGAGGTCATAGGTTTGCGACGCAGTGTAAAGGTAATTTGATGGGATTTATTGTAATTTATTTTAATTCTCCTTTTTACACCATTCTTCAAGGTTTGTGATATGTGATTGGAGAGTTTGGGATGCAGTTGGTAGATTGTTATTAATAGATAGGATACATGTGTCATCAGCATACGTGGTGATGACAGTTTCCAAGTGTCAGGAAAATATGTGGATACAGCATTATATATATAGGTAAGGAATAGAATGGCCTTCGGAGGAAGCAGTTTTAGGGGATCTGGGATGTAATTAGGTCGTGTCCAGGAGCTTTGTGGGAAGGTAATCTGTGTATGATATTGGATATTTCTGAAGGATGGAATGCTTTAGGTGGAAGGGTCAGTTGGAGTGGGATATCCAATTCTGTTTCAATACACTCAAGGTAGATTGGATTTAGGATATCTGAATGTGGATTAAATGTTTTGAAGAGGTGCTGAGCAAATATTTCAGATTTTTCATCATCAGATCTGGACCAGATTTAATTTTCAGTAATGAGAGGATAATTAAAATCTTTGAATTTTAGGAGCTTCTTGATGATCAACCACAGTGATTTGTCAGTAGTTGTAAGATTTTCTTTTAAGTTAAGTAAATTTTGAATTTTGTATTTTTTAATTTCTGCTTTTAGTTGATTAGTTAGGTTGTTGTAATAAGTTTTATCAGATGGGTATCTAGTCCTGTGCCACTTTGATCTTGCTCTGTGTTTTTTCTTAATAAGATACGAATGTGCTGTGGCAAATTAGTCTGTAGGGAGTTGTTAGTTTTATTAATAAATGTGTTGTTGTTTACTATGTCTCTTATAGATGTTGTAAGTAATTCTATGGCTATGTCAATGTCATGTTTTGTCTTGATTGGGATATTTAAGTCCAATTTGTCTTCCAAATCATTACAAAATTTGACCCACTTCATCCGTCCTGTAATCAACGTAGGAGGAGAGGAGGGCTTAGGAGCAGAGGTGGAGTGTAATGAAAGCAGAACTGGACTATGATCTGAAGAAAGGTCATCCAGGGATTTAACTGTGACATGGGAAGAGGAAATCTGGGAGGTGACAAATATGGCCTGGATATCAGGGCGTTTTTTGAGGGAAGTTGGCCAATATGTAGGATTCATAAGAGAGATGACGGAGTAACCATTGGGAATTGAGATAGAAGATAGTTGAGATAGAAGTTACCATGGGCGTTGGATGCTTGACAACCCCATCGTTGGTGTTTAGCATTGTAGTCTCCTCCAGCAATAAGGATTGGAGGATTGAAATCAGGATTCAATTAAGTTGTAGGTAAGAGTAGGAACAGGAGGACAGTATACAGCTGAGAATGTTAAATGTAAAGGACAAGTTGAAATGATTACTGAGGTTGCTTGAATAGCCTCAGTTGGATGCGAACAATAATTTGAATAAAATATTTTTTATTGAATATTTAATAGTTGACCGTTGCATTATAAAGGAAGGAGATGGTCCGGGGTTGCGGTCATAAATAAGCTAAATAGTGGTAAAACTATTTTATTGAAAGCCAACGTTTCGACCCGACTTTGCAGGTCTTCATCAGGGAAGTGTGTTCATCTAGGAGTTTCACTTAGAACTGAAGTTGAGTTCTCAGTGAAACTCCTAGATGAACACACCTCCCTGATGAAGACCTGCAAAGTCGGGTCGAAACGTTGGCTTTCAATAACATAGTTTTACTACTATTTAAAATATTTTTTAACATTTCTATGAAATAAAGCAGTATTTTCTATAACAAAATTCCAGTTTTATATTTACATTTAGTTTTATATTACAGGTTTATTATCCAAGGTGTCCAAAGGATCTCAGAAATATTCTCCTTCATTCACATTTTCAATAGATTTTTAGTTATTCATAGATTATAATTAACAGAAATTTTTAATTTTTAAATATCTAAACATGTGATAAGTATCCACCATTGGTTGAAACTTTTGTAAAAAGTTCTGTTTTAATAGTTTCTATGAAAATTTTAGAAAAAAAGTTTCATTTTAACAGTTTCTGTGAAACTTTTCAGATGAAAAGTTCTTAAAATAAAAGTTCTAAGGAATTTTTTTGTAATAAAGTTCCAGATTTGTGGTAAAAGTTTAACTTGTATTTATTAAAGTTCTTGAAAAAGTTTATTTAAATGAAAAATTAACAGTAATTAGCTTAAATTAGAAATATAATTTGTCTTCAACAAATTAGACATGATTTTAATATGTCATTTGTTTAAGAAACTTTGGATAAAAGTCATTTTTTAGAAAAACTCTTTAGCAAAATCGAAGAACTTTTAAAAAATATAAGCTCTGTACAACCTTAACTTGAAAAGTTGCAACAAAAAAAGTTCTAGTTCCAAAAGAACTGTAAACTATCGACGGTACAAACTGCGGTGAAACAGAACTTTTTTGAAAATGAAAGTTTTATTTTCCGTTTCCAGCCCTGGTATCCACAACGAAGGTGATAAGAGGCCTTTTACCAAGAATTAATGTTTAACTTGAAAATATTATATTTTAGAACTTTAAGGTGCATGGTTCAGAACTACTTTATAAGTGTTGCTCCATTTAGATAGGTGGGTACAAGATCTGATGATCTGAAGATGAGCTAGAGGATTTTTTATCACTTTTAAATTGGAAGTTGAAAGCTATGCTACAATTAAACCTAATTAAGGCCCTGATTTAATTAAAAAAGACCAGTTAGGAGTCCTTAAATCGCGATCTAAATGATGGGAGATCATAATCAAGAAAAAAACCAAAAAATAAAAAACAACTACCACTACAACACATAAAGGGTCTGGGGTTCAGTACTATTTAGGTAAAGTACTGTTTCTTGGTCTACGGTTGTGCAAGGAGGCGATTTGACCGAGATTACGCTCAACCACCAGGTTTTTCTCTTAATTAATTATTTTAATTAATGGTACCCACTTTATAGAGGCTGGGTGTGCCCCAGGAGATTATACCTACCCAAGGTCGCCCCACGGCCAATGAAACAGAATAAATAATTTTTCTGCCATGAGCCGGGATTCGTACCTGGGACCTTTAGCTGATACCCAAGAACAATTTGTAAATACTTGGCCATTCTAAGAATTATATTTATCGTATAATCATGAGATCCTGTCCTCAATTATCACAATGGAGCAACAGTAGTGATGTAGTGCCCAGAATCCAGTACGTCCAAAACAAACCTTACCGGGTTTTGATGTCAATATTGAAATCTAAAGAGCACAATGTCTCCCATTTCAATCTATTGACTTACCAATGTTATGGTCAAAATACCTCCGACTAGTTTCTTTTGACACCTTGTATTAAAATTTCAAGTTAAGAATTAGAATTGATATTCCTCAATTTTTTGTAAAATTTCCTTTCTTATGACACCTTAATTGTCAAAATAGGTACTAGTTCACAAGAGTTCTGCACGGATTACGCATGGATCACAATTATTCGGTCACACTTGTTCATGGAGTGCTGAATGCGTTCAGGTTTTTCCAAAAGAGAACGAAGGTGACCGATCTCTTGAGTCAGTTACTATTCACCTTCCTGCCATTCAAGTGCTTCTATAATTCTTAACCATGTTCAGTTATAAACCAGGAGCCGACTTACATTCGAAACTTAGGCAACACATCATGAAACCTGAATCGAACTTGTACATATATTATAGATCTGTGAAAAAGAAATAGTAATAGATAAAAACCTTTAATTATTACATCTCTGAAAGCTATTTCAAGATATTATTTTTCTTATTGATGATTTACATTATTCATTGTCTTAGAATTATCAGATATTCTTCTTCAGTTGTTTCTGCAATACTTTAATTTCCTTCACGAAAATAAATATATTTTTTTTTTTTTTTTTTTTTACGAATGACAACAATAATCCCCATTTTCAGATTACAAAGAAAAATAACTGCGTATAACAATAATTACACAGCTGATTCATTCAATTAAAATAATAGTGATTAAAACGAAAAAATAAATTTTAAGTAACAGTTACCTAACTGGCAGATCTACGAGTCTCGTTGGATTGGACATTTTTGGAATAAATATTTATCTATATAACGATTGATAGATACATCTTATTTACTAATATTGTACACTTTTCTCGCGCAATCTTAAATCTGACATTATTTTCATAAAAAGCGTCCTTGACAGCTTAATAGTGGACTCTTATATATAAGAAATCCAAAAATCTACAAAAAAATTGATGAACAATTTGAAATTCGATATTATTATTCGATATATTCATAAAAAGCTCCGATGACTAAAAAATAGTGGATCCGTATATCTAAGAATTCAAAAAAGTTACATAAACTTGATGCTCAATCTCAAATCAGACAATATATGCATACAAAGCGCCCCCTCCCACTAGAAAATAGTGGACCGTTGTATTATTATAAATCTAAACAGTAACATAAACTAGATAGACGATTGCGCAATTCTAAAAAAGGCTTGCTAAAATAAATTATAAATTCAATTATTTTAACTTATACTAAAAAACTCGAATAACAAATAAAAAGATAATAGGTAACTTCAGATTATTTATTAAACAAATGATAAAAAAAAGTAAATGAAGGGTACTAGGTTCACAATCACTTCGATCACATTGGTTCTGGTTCCCGGAAAAAAGCCGAATGTTGACGTCTTTTTTAATGACGTCGTCTTTCCCATCACCCCAACCCCTTATCATGCATTTTTGAAAAAAAAACCAATGTATTCCCTCATGCCTTCCTTACTAACAATTTATTACGGGAATGTGTATTTTACTAAATAGCTCAATTATTAATTTTTATTTAATGGTTATCATAGTGAAGTAAAAGAAAAAAATAATGTTTGAGTCGTTTCTTCAAGGCCTGTTTTAGATTTTTTTATTATTATCATAATAAATAATCTGAGTATCTATTCTCTTTTTATTGGTTGTTGAGTTTTTTCACTCGAAGTCGAATTAATTGACTTTATCATTTCTTTTCGCAAGCTTTTTTAATAATTTTGTTTAAAACGATCATATTTTCGCATCGTCGAGCTTTTTATGAATATACTGTCGGATTATAAAATTGTTGTCGATTTTTTGTAGATTTTTGGTATCTAAGATATAAGTGTCATATTAAAGCTATGTCAAAGGGTTTTTTTTATGAAAAATAATGTTCAGGATTAAGATTTATGGAATTATACTATAATTCCAAGATAATGATAATGAACCTCAACATACGAAAAATACTATCGTAACTAGCACTTCGAGATGTAATAATTAAGGTTTTTATCTATTATGTTTCTTTTTTACAGATCTATGATCTAATCCAAGTCAATTCGGTTTATGATGTGAACACTTACGTTTGAAGGTAATCGGAACCTGCTATAGAACTGAACGTGGTTAGGATATAGAGAAGTACTTATTAATGGCGGGAACAGTTAATAGTAACTGGCCCAGCGATCGAGTCGTCTTCGTTATGTTCAGAATAAAACCCGAAACGCCATTCGGGATTAAAGGAACAAGTGTGACGTATAGTGATGTGAACCATGGGATCCGTGCGGGAATCTTGTGACTAGTACAAAAATCTTTTCTACACAGTTATAAAAAAACAATACACAACAGTATATGCGTATTTACAGCCACTACATTTAAGCTGTCAATAAAAATGTTATTTCTAAAAGCTTATTTAAAATGTTATTTCTTTTTTTAACAGGCCTTGAAGAAGCGACTCAAACATTATTTTATATATTTTTTTCTTTTTCTTTCACAGTAATAACCGTTATAATAAAAGTTAATTGTTAATAAGAAAGTTTTATGAAGGGAATACGTTTCTTTTTTATTTAAAAAATGAATGAAAAGGGATTGTGTGATGGGGTAATAGCTGACATAATAAAAGTCAACAATATTCAGCTGTTTTCAGGATTCCATGAACAAGTGTGAAAGTGATTGTGAACCACGCTTAATCCGTGCGAAACTCTTGTGAACTAGTACCTCAAAATCCATTGCTCCTGAGACGGAAAAGGGATTTAAACAACTGAATTATAGATAGAATAGAATAGAAATAGATTTAATAGATAATTCTGATGTTCTGTAAATTAAACACAATCTACCTTCCATATCATCAAGCTGCCTTTGTAATTCAGTAACCATTAGCTTGATATAATCAAAACTGGCACAAGCTAATGCTTTCATCCACTGTTCCATAGAGTCTTGAGATTCAGCTTCAAGGATGTAGGTTCTGTTTCCTTGACCATGAAATACGATTTTGAAACCAAATTGACCTTCATCTTCAGCCAACTCTGAAGAAAAGTTAAAAGTTATTAGAGTTAAGTGCAGGCAGGAGTCACTTTAAATATGACAGACGGAAACATTGTAAAGAAAAGCATACCTATTGTACACCCTTCTAAGATAATAACACCAATGGGTTCTTTATCTGACCTCTTCTCAAAGTAGAATAATAGGTTTCCTTTTAAAACAAAATACCGCTTTTGAAAAGCTTTATTAACTTCACCTCTTTTAACAAGCCAACCTTCCTTGTCTATACCAGAAGGAGATGTTGCAAAAGCTGCAAGATTCTTCTCATTAATTTTCATTTTGATGGACAATTAATACATATTTTTACTAGAAACTAAGAATCTTGAAAGATAAAATAAGTAACATAATATTGGAATGACTTATCATCAACAATTATAACCCGAATGACCATCAGGTTATGTTTATATTTATTATGCTATCTCAAAATATGTTCCTGAGAAAACATGATAATGAAGTAATACTTTTGTCCATAATTTACTTTTATTTTTTAATTTTAAAAATATAATTTTCATTATATGTTAAAAGTATTCTTTAAAATTGTAAATTAATCTATATACGTAAACAATAAAAAAGAGAAGGTTACTTATGGTTTTCCTGGAATCATATCTTTTATCAAACTGATATCAGGCTCTATCTTAACAATTGGTTTAAGTTGAAATGTCAAAACAACAGTAATAAATATATTTACTCTATTGATCAAACTCAAAATTTATAGGCTGGAAAATGGAGGAAGGTATGACTTCTCATTCTCCATGCCCAATGGCAACACCAAATATGAAATTAGAGAATCTTATAAAAGCAGCCCTTAACACCTCTACTTTAAAGAGAACTGGACAAAGTGGAGGTGGTTGTATTAATCAAGGAGAAGCATATATTACTGATACTGGCACAGTTTTTGTGAAGAGCAATTCTAAACCAAAGGTTTGTTAGGAAGGATTGCCTTATTCAAGTATTATTTTATTGCTTTGTTAATTATACTATTAATTTTAACTTCAGGCCAAGTTGATGTTTGAAGGAGAAAGTGAGGGTTTGAAAGCTTTAGCTGGTACAGGTATTGTTACTGTGCCACAACCGATTACAGTTTTGGAAAATCCTGATGGTGGAGCTTGTTTAGTCATGGAATTTATTGAAATGAAGGGCTTGCGCAGTTTAGCTCATAAGCTTGGTGATGAAATAGCTAAAATGCACATGCAAAATGTCAATCTTGAAAATCGATCTAACCGTATCTCAGAAAAACCTCAAATGGAATATATTCCTCAGTTTGGTTTCCATGCAACTACTTGTTGTGGCTATATTCCCCAGGAAAATGAATGGAATGAAGACTGGGTGGTAAAAAATTAAATATGATTGTATTAACTCTAGTTTTGCAATTATTAGGTACTTTTCAATAAATGTATCCTTTCATTTTTCCATTATTTCTGTTTTTCTTCTTAGATAAATTTCAAGAAACTTCATATTAGTTAAGATTTTAAAATTATAATTCCCTAATGATACCAAAAGAATTTAGAATTACAGAATATTCATTTATTTATATTTTTTATTTAATGTCCTAATGGTTGGACCAAAGTATTGGCTGTAAATAGAGCACCTATTATTCTGTTTTATGTTCCGTTGACTGTAAGATGTAGGATTTGTCATAACCATTTTATTAAAAACAGTCTACAAACACCACTCTTAGAAATTTTTATTTAATAAACTGTTTTTCTTAAAATATTTTTCAGGCATTTTTCGCTCAAAATCGATTAGATTACCAGTTTAGACTTCTCGAGAGAGAGGTAATGACATTTCATTAAACATAAAAATTCAACTATTATTTATATCAGGTTAATGTTTTTCTGTTATATTTTTCTTATTTCCTAAGTAACTGATGTTTTAGAATACAAACCAGATACTTCTAAAGCTCATGAATGAATTTAGAGAATGTATGTTAACATGTTTTAAATTGAAAGTCCTTATGTTATGTTTTTAGAGCTGAAGTCAATCAATACATTTGTAAATAAATAAAGAAAAGAAACTGGTTGAACAATTTGGTTTCAATTTAAATTACTAAAATCATTTTGGATATAATTAGAGGCAGCTGGTTTTTACTACACGCATTATTATTGTATGACCTTATTGTTTTTAATTATGTTTGAATGAATTAAATTTCCACCTTTTTTTTTATTATATAATTTAAAAAACCTTTTTTAAACTATATAGTTAACTAAATAGTTAAAGTTAACCAATTCAGCTGAACTGGTTAACTTTATCACATGAAATAATTCCCATTGTTCTCCCCCACCCCCCAAAAAACAAAAAAACTTATGCTTCTTATCATGCTCTTATTGCACCCTTTGCTGAAAAACAGCTTCTAATTAATCCACTCATTTTATTTCACTTTATATCAACAACACATCCTTATAGGGCATAGAAGAAAATTAAACAAAATAAATTTCTTTTACCTATGTTAAATAGTTATTAAGTCTTGTTGTAATGTTGTGGTTCTAATTCAAAAAAGTATAACATTTATTTGTATCTCTTATTCTTGTTTCTTTTTTTAATTTTTCTGCGAAATTTTGGCCTGAATGTTCATAACTGACTTATTGATATTTTTTTTTTTAATGAATACATCATTGATGTAAATTTATAATATAGGTTTTAAATTTAATTTTCAATTTTCAGACATACTACTCTATATGTATATTCACCTTAGCTAGAATTATAAATTATCTTTTGAAATTTTGTTATGTAATATCTGTTATAAACATGGCTTTTAATTAGCCTTGTTTTAATTATTAGAAAGGAGATAGAGAAGCTATCGAAATGTGGTCCAGATTACAAATTATTATTCCAAAATTTTTCAAAGATCAAAGAATCCGCCCCTCATTACTACATGGTGATCTGTGGGGAGGAAATGCTGCTCAAACTAAAAGACATCCAGGTATTCTCATCTTTTTCAATAACTAAATATTGCTTGGTGATTATCCTTTTTTTTTTTTTTTTTTTTGTATGATAAAATTTGACTAATTTTATTTGTTTGTTCAAGAAAGAAGTGTATGAGTGGACATTTTAAAATTTATATTAATATATATTTACAAATTCTTCTTTTTTTTTTATTTTGATCCGTTTTGCTTGGAAATAGTTTTTTTTATATTATAAAGTTTAACTAATTTTATTGGTGTATTCAACAAAGAACTACATAAAGTGGATATCTTTAAAAATTATATAAATATATATATTGAAAATATTCTTTTTTTTTATCTTGATAATACTTTTTATTGTTATGCGTACACCTGCAAACAGAAAGAAGAGCTACAATAAAACAAAGTACTTTTGTAAATGGATTCTTAACTAAGCTTTATATAGATAACTAAGATTTCATTCTTCTTGATTTGTATAAATTTTGAAATTACCTTAAAAAATATATTTAAATTACTTTTTCTGCATCAAATCTGATATGCTGATTAAAGCTAAGAGTGTAGGAAATGGAGTTATAAAGTAAGACAAACCAGAAATTATTAACATAATTATTGACTTACTGATTAACTATTTGATGATAATAATAACTGGGTCTTAAAAATATCTTTTTTTTTTTTTTTTTTTTTTTTTTTTTTTTTTTTTTTGGACCCAAAGACTAAAAAATGTAACTTTAGTGAAACATAAAAAAAATTATTTTTTAAAATTATGTATTAGTTTGCATCTGTTATAAAAGAAGTATACTGCTTTAATGCAATCTCAATGAATTAACATGTTAATCTTCTAGTTTCTAAGATGTCATGCCTTAATTTGCATTATTGAAAATTATCATTCAACAATTTTATCATTATAAAATTATTTATTTATTTGTTTTTATTGTTGCCTCTACCCTGCAGGGTCATTGGCAACACTTCCTATTTATATTCTATTGTAGAACTTTATTATTTTTAAAATTGTAAAGTTTTTTTCCACGGCATTTTCGTTGTCACTGAGGTTTTCTTTTAGGCTCTGAGCCATATCGAGATTTTTCCTTACATTCTGAAATACTGGGCAGTCTTGGATGATGTGTTGGACAGTTCTTTGTACCTTACAGCTCTCGCAAGTCGGTGGGTCTAGTCCTCTTAGTAAATAGGCATATGAAAATTCACAATGCCCAATTCTTAAGCGGCAGAGGACTGTCTCTTCTTTTCTGGAGTGTTGGTTGCTAGTTTTCCATTTGGAACAGTGGCTTTTTATTCCTCTTAATTTGGTTTCTTTTTGTTGCCATGTGTTCTGCCATATTACCCGCAATTTTTTTTTATATGATGTATAAAATCTTCTATCGGGATTTCGTTAATTATAGCTGTGGGATTTCTATCTATTCTTCTCGCCATATTTGCTGCTGTGTCTGCCTGTTCATTTCCGAAAATTCCGCAGTGTTAAGGGACCCACATGAATATATATATATATATATATATATATATATATATATATATATATATATATATATATATATATAATGAATATATATAATTATAAAATTAAATAATGTGAAATAATAATATTAAAATGTATAATATTTTAATTAATTTTTGTATGTATTTTTATTAACGGATTATAATTAATTAGCTATAAATAACTACCATAAATAAATGTGAATTAATGTAAATAAGTTAGATTAGATAAAATCCTATAAAAAAAAAAAGAAAAAAAAAAGGAATGATTTGTATTTAGTTTTCCAAATATTTTAGGTTACAAGATACTTTGTTTAATTATTTTTTTGATGACTTGAAATTATGCATTTGGATTTAATCCTCTCCTTCCCATTCCTTACAGTTATATTTGATCCTGCTGCATTTTATGGTCACCATGAATATGAGCTTGCTATCTCTGGTATGTTTGGAGGTTTCACAAGAAGTTTTTATGATTCTTACCATAAAGTTATACCAAAAACTCCGGGCTTTGAAGGACGGCAAAGGCTTTACACTCTTTTTCATTACCTAAACCATTGGTATACTATGTTTGTCTCTTCTTTCATGTTACATGTTCATTTCATTGTAAGTAAATACATGTCATATTCTTTTAGGAATCATTTTGGAGATGGTTACAAAAAATCAACAATGGCTGTCATAAAAAGTTTGTTGAAATGATGTAGTTCTTTCAGGACAATTCCAGACATATGCTGGCCAGATGATGATTCACCTTAATCATTGATTTGGAGGGATTGGTCCTGATTTTAGAGTATACATCTTGAAATGAGATACATTCATTAGACTGATGTATTGAAGTGATATGTAGGTTGTTAATCAAGCGCTACGGTAGTGCTTTTATTTTTACTTACCATATTTATAGAATACTTCTTTTTTCATATAAAATTTAAATATGAAATCATTATGCTTGGTATCTCCTGTTGCCTATATGTTTTAGTCTAAAATTTTTGTTTTAAGTGTATATTGTATTTGTTAGTTTAGGGATAGCTCATCAAAATGAAAGCATAAGTACCTAAGAGGTCTTAGGTAGTGCCTATTTTTATTTTATTTTTTCTGTTACGTCACAATGCTCAATTAATAAGCAGGGTAGATTTTGTTTTCAGAATATTGAAATAATGCATTTAACACCACATTCATCATGGATAAATAATTTAAACTTAATTGTTACTGCTTTGAATTTATAGTAAGTAGCTATTCTTAGATGTAAAGACCTTTTGTTATGCTCAACTTAAATGTTCTTGGCCTAAGAACTTTTTTTTTTAATTGAATAATGAATGGCTTAAGATCACTGTGAATTCTTTTTGCACAATACTAGTCTATTTTTTTTTTCATAAAAACAGTTTTAAAAATATATTTATGGTTCAAGCTTTACTGAAATAAAAATAAATACAGGCTAGCGGTGTGAAATGTTTGCCATGAAAGTGAAAAAGTTTTTATTACTTTTTAATGTTAAATAAGTATTAACTTATTAATCTTTAAAAACTTCATAAATAAAAAAAAATAACAATTAATTATAATTGCCTAGCAAAACTTTTTGTACGAAAGAGATTTGCTGTGCCTTTGACCTATGAATTTTTTAAAATTCCGTTTGTCAGTATGATTATTTTTACATTTATTTCTTATGTAATTAAAAAATACATTCCTCAATGGTATTGAAGGAAGAAAATATGTTTATTGAAGAAATATTAATGCTGATTTTTTATTTAAATGTGGGTGGTTGTAGTATATAGAGATAAATGCTTAATCTAGTTCTGAGTTCTGCTGATTACCATTTTCCGCTAAGCCTAACATGGCTAACTGTATAAGAAAGAAAAAAAAATTAGTTGACAGAGATCATTCTAGCTTGCCAAAAATATTTCAATGAAGAATATGTGATAAATTATTAAAAAGTACTAAATAATCTGAAAATATAGGCAATTAAAATAACACCTTAAGCCAATTAATGACTGAAATAATATTAAGAAAACTGATTCAAAGTGAAGGTGAATAAGAAACTTATTAATTTAATTAATAACAAAAACAAAGCATTGGTATTCACTAAATATATAAAAAATATATTGTTGAAAATTTAATTGCATATTCATACGTAATTAATAAAAAACAAAATCATGTTGTGTATTATCTGATTATTCAGTATCTATATGTAATGTTAATAGAAAGTGGAATAAGAGGGTTTTAAATGTGGATAAGGAAGGAGCATGTCGGATATGCTGAGGAAGAGAATTCCAAAATGTGGTGGAGTGGGCAACAAAGGAGTGTTGAAATGAGGCAGATCTGTTAAAAGGAGTATAAAGGTCAGAGGGTCGAGAGCTGGCGGTAAGAGAGTGGATAGAGGACTTGAATTGGAGGAGATTGTCGCCATAGGACGGGCGCTGGGTGTTGATTATTTAGAATACCTTCTGTATTATGGTTATTTTTAGATTGATTCTAATTTATTCTTATGATATAGTGAAATTGATAAGATCTCAAAATGGAAGGAAGAATAGTGCAAATATTCACTGAGGTAACTCTAGGATTGACCAAATCAGTCTAAAAAATATGTTACTTGTTACAAAGCTTTTTATTAACTGACGAGATAACAATCAATTAATGAAATTATTCGGAAAAACAAAAGTGAAAAGAATTTCTTAAAAATAGACAGTCAGTTGAGAACATTATGAAAACAAAATATTTATATGTTCTTTAAAAGTATTTAGATTCCACCAATTTATTTTGTAGTTTTAATTAATTATTATTCAACATGTATCATGTATGAAAACATTTGCTAAGCAATGAAAGTTCGTATGTATACAGCTTGCCTCAAGTTTTGTCTTGTTTAAGAGTATGTTCTTGTCAATTAAAAGTAAGTTTTATTTTGATGATATTTCTTAGTAAGTTGTTTGGAATGTTTAACAAAGTGCTATCATCTTTTCAATGCTGTAAATTATACTTGCTTCTGTGTGTATTTATAACAAATGAGTTGTATTTAGTTGTTAATTATGTTTTAATTGCACTTTTATTAGCAGAAATAAATTCAACATAGGAGCAAATCAATATTCAATTTTAATTACTGCAATAGCATTGATTGTCAAAAATTAAATTTTTTATAATTTTTTTGTTTTAACAGCTCACTTGAAAACCAAGAAACAGTCTGAAAACTGTATTGTTGGGGCTTAAATAGGAATACATAGATAAAAAGCTTGTTTCTCTCGAAACCAATCACCTATTCTAGGCGAAAAATCTTTTATACAGCGTAAAATTGTGGAAGTATTGTTCCCCATAATTATTGTAAATATTTGACACTGAACTGTGTTAAGTAATAGTTTGTAAGTTGTTTAGTGTTTTGTTAGTTATTTAAAAATTATTAAGAAACTTTATACATAGTCAACGACATTTTTAGAATGAATTCACCTACACAAAACTACTGATTACAAAATTAAATTTGAAATTCTTCAATCTTTTTGGATTGATAATATCATAAAAGCTAATGTAATTATTGACTCAGCAAGCCTGTCAAACCAAGGAAATTGAAATATGTTTTCGAAATCATTTAGCCCTTTTTAAGAATATTTTTTTCATCGAAGGTAGATTTCACTGTTTGTTCGATAATGTAGAATTAAGCAGTTGCCATAGTTATTAATCCTCTTGCCTATTTTGGCAAATGAACTTGATACCATCCTATTGTTACTATTATTTTGAATAACAAAAAATAGTAAATTGAAAAAAAATGTTTAGGTTAACCGATTTCCTTATATTATTGAATGTTAAACGTCCAATTAATTATTAAGTTTTAATATTGATGGGTGAAAACACAAACATACATCGAGAACATATTTTTTCAGTACAAATATAATGAAGTTCGAAAGCTGTAAATTCTTGCAAAGTTAAAATATGGCAAGTTTTTTCAGTGCCTAAGTTGATTATCAAAGACTAGAATTTGTATCTAATTTTTGTAAATTCTAAAGATTAGTTCTAGTTTTTGTCCTGATTCACAGGCATAAAAGTTATTTAAAACATTCACTTCACATTGGGACATTGAATATTTGTGAAACAAATTTTCTCCAAAGCACTCCTTCAGGTTAAAAAAATTGAATAGTGCTTTTACCCATCGATATGTGCTTTCTGGAGGCTATTTTAACGTATATTGAGCTTTATCATTTTTCAATATCAATGCAGCCTATTAATTTTAGGATTGCGTACTTATCTGTAGTTAGTATTGGGCTCAGTGCTAAATTCAAATTGTGTTGATGTATTTGGTTATTGGTTCTCCCACGAACCAATTTAAATTAACAGAACAGAAAGAACAAATTTTGCTGGCACTAATTTGAAAGAAACTTTTTTTTCTCCTTATCCTCAGATTTTCTTTATAAATATATCCATATATTCAAAGATTACAATATCATCTTGTAATATATATTTATCCTAGTCAACATTTCCTAAATAAAATTGAATGTTGAAGGGGAAAAAAATTAGTTTCAGTGCCGTATGAGTTTGCTCTCTGGTTTCCATCTAATTGTAGGGGCTGGCAATCATGATAAAAAATTGACTTAAGGAAGAGCTGAAAGTTAAGCTTTTATCACAGTGAGCTACACTCTAGATCAGGGTTCTCCAAACTTTTTGGTCCACACTGCTGAGACCTTGAATAAGTTCTGCGGGCAATGGCTAATGATGAAAAAAAATTTGACGCTTGATGCTGTGAAATGAGCTTTCTAAGATATAAAACCCATAATTAAATGTTGTGGTAATCTCATCTGTGAGTAATTGTTAAATTTAACATTTTTAAATAGTTTTTAAAATTTTACAATGTAATCAAGAGAACCTTCGGGAGAAGGATCTGGTAGTTTGAAGACCTGTGCTCTAGATTCTTTTAAAAAATTAGAATTGAATATTCTTAAACTGTATTATGCCTCTAATTAAGTTATTTTAAAAAATAGGCAATTTGGTATTAATTAGTATTTTTTGAACTAATTTTAAAAAACGACCTAAATTATATAGTATTTTTTTTTAAGAACAGGGACAGGAACTCATCAAAATACAAATAACATCAATAATAAGAATTTTTTTAATAATAAATTATTTCACTAATAATTATTTTGTTATAATTACAGATATTTTGTTATAATTACAGATATTTTGTTATAACTATTGTGACATATAATTAGGTATTAATTGAGTAAATTATATTGTTGGAATGGTTCATCATTGGTTCTTTAAAATTTTAAACTTTTTTATCATTGGTTTTTATCTATGTGGTGTGGTAGACTAAATTACAAAAAAAAAAAAATTATTTGTTTATCATAAATAAGTTATGAAAATTTAAAAAACTTTTTTGTTAAATACTATTCATTGTACATATTTTTAAAGTATGTTTTGTTATATAAAAGATGATTCAGTCCTCAGCCTCAAATTTAAAACTTGATTTCACTTTCAATTTCTAACAATTAAGTTCAAATAAACTGAGGTCTGATTTTTCAATTTTACTAACTTTTTAGTTTTGTGTTCTTAAGTTTTAGTTTTCAGTTATCACCAATCAATGCTCGTATTATTATTCTGAAACTTAGTACATTACAGTGAAATCACAACTAATTTAAGTACGGTGAAGTAAAAAAAAAAATTTCTCTGCACATATATTTTTTTTTTCTAGGAATATTTTAAAAATAAAATCTAAATTTTTAAAATTAATAAAAACTCCATAAATAGATAATAATGTTTAGCAAAATAATGCTCAGAGTTGAAAAAGTAAATAAAAAAATTGATATTAATAAAATATGATATTAATCAACCAATTACATTTAAATAGGATTACTACTAAACATTAGTGTTTTCATTTTTCATTTCATACTTAAAATTAGGAATTCAGAATAACAGATTTTGAATTGGCAAAATAATTTTAGGTACAAAAAAATATATATTTCGCAAGAAATTAGTCTGTGGTGCGGTAAAAAAAATACTATATTTTATTTTATTGTCCAACCTTTCGACCTACATTGTAGGTCTTCCTCAGGGCATTCAGTCAGACATTGTTGAAGGCCATATGGCGACTGGTTGTCTGGTGTTCGAGTCAGGTAACAACAAACTAGTCCCTTTCTACCTGTCAGTTTTCTGTTACCTAACTCGAACACCAGACAAACAGTCGCCATATGGCCTTCAACAATGTCTGACTGAATGCCCTGAGGAAGACCTACAATGTAGGTCGAAAGGTTGGATAATAAAATAAAATATAGTATTTTTTTTACCGCACCACAGACTAATTTCTTGCGAAATATATATTTTTTTGTACCTAAAATTATTTTGCCAATTCAAAATCTGTTATTCTGAATTCCTAATTTTAAGTATGAAATGAAAAATGAAAACACTAATGTTTAGTAGTAATCCTATTTAAATATATTGGTTGATTAATATCAATTTAATATAGGTTTTCCTCAGGGCATTCAGTCAGACATTGTTGAAGGCCATATGGCGACTGGTTGTCTGGTGTTGGTAACAGAAAACTGACAGGTAGAAAGGGACTAGTTTTCTGTTACCTGACTCGAACACCAGACAACCAGTCGCCATATGGCCTTCAACAACATCTGACTGAATGCCCTGAGGAAAACCTATAATGCAGGTCGAAAGGTTGGACAATAAAATAAAATATAGTATTTCTTTTACCGCACCCGACTAAATTGAATCCACAGTCAACCATCTCTATATAATTAAAAAACTTCACACTAAAATTACTGAAAAAATAAATGATTTTAAATACTTTCTTCCCTAACTGTGGGCTTAATCTTAAAGTAAAATTATATTAGGATTGTTCCAATTTCAAAGTTATTGGATTTTAATTAATAATTAAATGATTGACCCCCCTCTACCAAACTGCAAAAATGAGCATGAAAGTAAGTTTAGACATTTGCTTCTGCATATTGACACAGAGTGTATTAACACATTCTCATCTGTGTCCTCTAAAATAATAATGAACTGCGAAGATATGTTATAGTGTACAGCTTTAAGTTTGTTTACACATTTAATTTAAATCTTATGTATTCAGTTCAAATAGTTAAATGAGCTTTCATTATTTCTTGATCTCATGAAGGACTATAACCTTCATTAAAAAAAATAAAGCTAATAAAAAATGTTTATTATTAGTAGAAATTAAATTAGATAAGATTATGTATAGCTAGCTACTTTATTTTTTATTGATGTTAAATGAAATGAAAAACAAAATGTAGTAAATGGAAAAAAAAATGGATATTTATACTGAGTTAGAAATTGGATTAGTGATAATGTAAAGGAAAAAAAATGACTTATAAATTGACATTTATAAGTAAATTAATTAATAGTAATTTGGTTTAGTTACACTTTTTTTTCATCTAATTTTGTATAAAACAAAGAACTAATTTATTAATATAATATTGACAAAACATGAAACTATAATTTCTAAATTATGACCATATAGATTTCCAGAATGCCATTTAAAAAAAAAAATCAAATAACATAAAAAATTGCACAAAGTTTAGATTAATAAACCTAAAATGTAATTTTTCAACAAACTGAATAGAATTATGTCAGTTAAAAAATAAAGAAATGTTTATTAAATTATATTTTATTTACTACTGCCTTAATTAATCATAATTTTATTCTCCTTGTGCCCTCAGGTAGGAGAAATATCATCAACAACACCAAGTTTCTTATATTTTGTTCTGGAGTGGAAATAGGTGGTTTTGCAAGTCATTGTCCACTTATTTTTATATCTCTCCTTCTCAACTACTGAACATTTTTTATACAAGTTGAACAGTTAATTTAAAAAAAAATTAATGTTGGAGTTATAGGCATTAATAAAACATTACCTACAGATTCACAACTATTTATCAATTAGAAGTGTCTAATTATGTATTTTGACCAAATTCTTAACTTCAGCATTTGAATATAAATTCTAAATAACTTATACGAAAAATACTTCAATTTTTCTTATAATCTACCTTTAATGAGCAGCATAGATCTCACTATAAAATGGTATGACGTTTCAACCATAAAGTCAATATAAAGAACTTACCTGATCCCTAGAAAATCAACCTTTTTTATTTTTACCCTTCCTTAGTAACTTTATTGGAGGATTATGTATTAACAACTATCACAGATCCCATATCACATTACCTTTATAATAATCTTAATATAATTTTCTTTTATTTCGGTATCGTATAATATTTCATAAGCCAACAGTACACAGTATGTAAAAACATGTGTCTTCTTATAACAATTAATTGTCATAATCTTATCTATTTGCATTTTTTGATGAGTCAGTTCCCATCAGTCACTTGTTACTTACTTATATACTTATCTAATTCTTCTGCACTTACTATATATTTGAAGCTCCAAATAACAATCAGGAGTCAATCGATCTGTTTGGTCAATTTTTTAAAAATATAAATCTTTAATATAAATTATACTCACAGTATTTTTTATTCATAAGTATTTTTAATGAATTAAACTTTTATTTCTAATATATCAATTTTCATTACTAAAATAAGCTGTAGGTGTTCATGGTAAAAGGGTTATGATACTTTTACACAAAAACATTGAATCACTACATAAAGTAATAAATATATAAGTTACAACCAAACAAGAAGTACCCAAGATGCTCTTCTTAAGCCATTTGGATTTATCAAAATGGATGGATACAAAAAGGAGAAAATAAATAAAAAGGACTATTAACCCTTAAATTTATTCTTATAAATGATAACATAATGATTTCAGTTTAATTACATACATGCTGTTTACTATTTTTAAACTAGTTACGCTTCATAACCATCTGGTAAGGCGTTGGTGTGTGGGTTGTGAAACAGGGAACGGTTTCCATCTCCCCAAGGGAATTTCTGGAAAAAAATAGATAAAAATAAGTGCCATCATTAATTGAATCGGTGAGTGCAGAAACCACTGCAGTCACAAATTTCAAATTTTTCAGGAGAGAGAAAAAACGTCATAACTCCTTCAAATATTTGATCGTTTTTTTTTCCTCTGTCACAACATGCATTTATGTTTCTGTCATGCAAACATTACCTAATTTCGACATAAATTAGGCTCAGGAAAATTTAAAATTTGATTTGGACTTATGCTGTTTCTGCACTCAACTGTTTTTTACAGGCAGCTGAAAACTTGAAAAAAGGTAAGTATTCATTAAAAGTATATATATTTTAATTAACAATTTATTTTACAACAATTTATATTGATTTCAATTTAATTTATTTTACAACAATATTAAAAATTTATATTTTTTCATATTATATCAAAAATGAAGTTACAGTATTGCAAAGTCATCATAAAATAGGAATATAACAAAGTGAAACGCTCTTAAAGATCATTCTCGACGGTTGTATCATTGTCACGTGCTGTGGTTGGCCAGATAGTTCATCATAAAAACTTCAAAGTTTTCATTTATGTTTATATTCCTAAGTCCCATAAATAAAAATGATATTTTCATTTATATTTTTGAGTATAAATATGCTCATCTCCCCTGGTTATGCGATCCAGCGGTGGGTGGATAACCATGTCAGTCACTGGCTCATGTTATTTTGCGCTCAACAATTGAAAAAGACGTCATGTATTTACGAAACTAGTCAACAGACTAACATGGTTGTTGCACTCTACACATATCTTGCCTTTCTGAGCTTCTTTTCATCGAAAAAGATTTTTCGCATTTTTTTTTTACTGAAGTGGTTTCTGCACTCACCAATTCAATTGTGTTCAATACTCAACAAAACTAGTAATTACATTGCAAAATTGGATGATTGTATATTGCATTTTTTTATTATTAAAATCTTAATATAATGTAATGTTTTCACAATCTGATAGTGAGCGTTTATGTATGATAAAATAATTAATATAAATAATAATAATAATAAGGCTTAGCGAACCCGAAGGTTCGATGCCGACACCAAAAATAATTAACATCTACAAATAAAATAAAGTAAGTCTTATTGAAAAAACTTTTATATGGATACCAATGAATACCAAAAATTCATCAGAATAATTTAGTTAGATAATTAAGTTAAATCAACTTAAGAGGTAAAAATAAAGTACTGACAAATCGACCAATTCTATTTTGTATGAAATCTGGTTTGTTTTCTATACCACTCAATTTAAGTCCAGGATGCTTGATCAATTCATTCTTCCATACTTTTATAAATTATTGGAAAACGAAATGTTCAGGTTATGGTAGAGTGGACTTCAGATGTAGGTTTAAGCATTAGTAGTAATGACAAAACATTGACAAATAAGTTATAAATGGATGTTGATGATTACACATGTGAAAAAATGTTCTTTAGATCATTTGTGGTACAAAGCGTCAAAAGTTTCAAAAAGTGTAAAATAAATAAAATATGAGACTTAGTCCTTGGTACAGTCCCTTTTTTATTAAATTGTTAACATCGGCCTGAAATTTTTGAATAGCTTCATCTCATCGTAACCTACAACTATTTTATATACGAAAACTCTTGGAATTGGTGAGTTTTCAATCTGGAGATCAGCAAATTTTATTAGTATATTAATCTACTTAATTAGGTACTAAAAACTCGTAAATACTATTGGCTTGGATACGTAAATACTCCACTTGGATCATAAGATAATTTGATCAGAAAATCGAGAAAAAAAGTTGTCTACAAAATTATTGGGCCGTTTGATCTTTATTTATAACCTTGGTATTTTGACAAGTTGGAGATACAGGTCTCGCCAAATTGCCCATATTTTTATATTATATATTTTATTGAGGGCTAACTTTTTTTATCGATTTTATGCTCAAATTATCTTGCTGTTTAAGTGAGATGCAAATGGGTATTTATGAGTTTGTAGTAAATAATTAAATAGACAAAGTTTGCCAATCTCCAGATTGAAAACACGCCAATTCTGAAAATGTTAACGTGTATTCTGATTAAAAACTTGGATTAGAATTTTTTTAAGATAGTAATAGTAATATTGAATATTTAATGGTTGACCGTTGCATTAAAAAGGAAGGAGATGGTCCGGGGTTGCGGTCATAAAAAGGCTAAATAGTGGTAAAACTATTTTATTGAAAGCCAACGTTTCGACCCGACTTTGCAGGTCTTCATCAGGGAGGTGTGTTCCTCTAGGAGTTTCACTTAGAACTCAAGGTTAAAAATACCTGGACAGCTGGGTTCAGTGAAGTCGGTGTGATGCCTCGTAATTGGAATATAAGGAGATGAAGGTGATGAAGACGGAGTAGGCGAGTGATGTGAAGCTATCTGTGGAGAATCTGAGATGTGGTGATGTTGGGGTAAAGTCTGCGGTGAGGATCTGATGTTACTTTGGAGTCTGGAACTGCGGCGAAGTGGTGCTGAGTATGTATCTGGCCGTTGTTGGCCCCGTCGTTTTTTAGTCATATTGAATATTTAATGGTTGACCGTTGCATTATAAAGGAAGGAGATGGTCTGGGGTTGCGGTCATAAAAAGGCTAAATAGTGGTAAAACTATTTTATTGAAAGCCAACGTTTCGACCCGACTTTGCAGGTCTTCATCAGGGAGGTGTGTTCCTCTAGGAGTTTCACTTAACGTCGGGTCGAAACGTTGGCTTTCAATAAAATAGTTTTACCACTATTTAGCCTTTTTATGACCGCAACCCCGGACCATCTCCTTCCTTTAGTAATAGTAATGTTTGTCTGACAATACATTTCATATATAGGTAAGTGAAAATGAAAAAAAAAAAGTTTAAATTTATTAAAATCATTAATGATGCAGTATTGAAAGAGTTAATTATTAGAATTTATCTGATTTAAATATTAGAGGAGTTTGAGAGGAGTCTACAAGGAAGGAGACATCTCACCACCACCTGTGTCGGTTCTGTGACCGAGCTGTCTGTCTATAGTACTACTTACCTTTATCACTTACCACAAATCTAATCTAATAAAACCTCTATGGTGGGTGAAAGAACAAAAACTTAAGATGAGTTTATACAACTAGGTTCAGGTGTTCAATGCGTTTTCAGATAAAATTTTGTTAACACCAGTACGAATCAACAATTTATCTACCTCTTAATACTTAATTAATTTAATAACTTAATCTCACCTTATTACGCACTCTTAAATGATCATATTTCTTAAATTCTGGTCTTGCATGTTCATGACGAATATGAGCCAAATATGCATTTAACATGCATAACAAAACAGAAGGGAAGCCAGCAAAATAACTCACATTACGCCAAAGTTTAACACCAGCTGTAAAAAAAAAAAATATAAAAATCCATATTAAATAGAAAAAAATTGAAGAATTTCTTTAAAGTAATGACAGAATATCTAATGTCTTATATTACAAATTGTGAATAAAGAAACGTGAAGGAGAAACAAAGAAACTGTTGGCAATACATCATGGTGGGAGGCCTGACATTATTATATTATGTTATAATTAATATAAGGACAGCTAATTCACTATTCTTGGATTTAATCTAACTTATCCAACACCAGGACTTTTTTAGTCCCATCCAGAATCCCATTGACAATTGTAGTAAACTAATTATAATATTGAGTTAACCCTATGATTAATGGAAGGTGACAAATGTGAGTAGGTAAAACAATCAGGGATAATAATAATAATAAAAGGCTTAGCAAACTATGTAAACTTATTTATATCAAACAGCTGTTATAATTCTTATACCCATAATGAATAACTAGACAACAGTTAGTAAAATTAGTTTGAAATATTTGCACAGTACCTATTAAAAATAATCTTCGAAAATATGTTTAAGAAATGAAAAACTTATTATATTAATGAGTAAACAGGGATCAGAATCACAGGAACTAATATACGTTTGTAAACTTTACTGTATTTACTGAGATAAATAAAAATAGATGAATTTGATAACTTATTGCTACGTATTCTTGATAATTTTTGTTTGTTTGTTTGCATTATTATATTGGTCTTTTAATACTTATTTAAATTATAATTTCTTCCTCTCTTTTTCTTTTAATGATTCGATTTCTATTATCTTAATTGAATTCCACTTCATAGAATTAATGCTGAATATCCTATTAAGATTAACCTCATAACACAATAAATAAATTAAAAAAAACATTAGTAAGTTTTAAGAAACCACAGAATTTATTAGATAAAAAAAAAGAAAGCTTAATCGTAACAAAGGCAGGCCATGCGAATTGTATAGTTGAGAACAATGCCTAATCTGTCTGGAACTCTAGTGAAATAAATATAAAAATAAACTCAATATATGCGATAAATCTCTATACTTACTTTTGGGTATTTTTCATTATATATGTTTATGGAATTGATCATTGTAGATATTCATTTAAATATAAATCTTATGTTGAAAATTAATTTTTAACAATGCTTGTGAATCATTGACCTTTTATTTCTATACAATACAGTAATTAATGTTTAAATATATCTTTCAGAAAATTCTTCATAAATATTTTCAAGAACAGTCTGTATACATATATAATATAAAAACGAAAAGATTGACCACTCAAAATAATAATTTAGGTACTGGTTCACACAAGTTCCACACGGATTAGGTGTGGTTCACAATCACTACGGTCACATATGTTAATGGAATATTGGAAGTATTCAGGCTTATCTGAAAGATTAAGAAGACAACCAATCTCTTGATTTGGTTACAAATAAGTTTTCCCAAGCCCTCTCCCAAAATAGAAAAATAATTTTTTGTTAAATTGGCTCATATTTGTTTATGTGAGTGATCTAAACTAAATAGATAAGCAATCACAATATGTACTCTTGGTTAATAAACAAGTTCTATGGTGAGAATACATGGATTTTTCAAAAAAATACATCAAAAGAGAATGGGTGTTTGGGAAAAGAGCTGAAGTCATAACAAAATTCACTTTCACTGTTTTCAGCATTTCATGTACAAGCGTGACGGAAGTGATCGTGAAGATGGCCTAATCCATGCAGAACTCTCGTAAACTGGTACCTTTATATCCTTCGGAGTTAATGTTTTGACAAACATTTCGACGGCCAGTTGAAGGACACATCACATTTCTAAATGGCACTTAATATATACTATATAACTATGTATGTCGGTTTATGCTGCATATTATCCTTGTTTTCGAGCAAAATTTTTATGGTAGAAATTAGAGGTTGTCGTCTAATCCAACCAAACCTATCACAACAAATCTTGGTAGGTGGCAGGATTAGTGATAAGCTATTATTATAAAAAAAATGAAGTCTATCAAAAATGTTTGTAGATAAATGCTATTTCTAGAATTGGTAATTCTTGGCTCCTAACTTAATTTAAATTAGAAACAATTAATTATGATTACTTTGTTATGAATGCCTTCAGGTGGTATTCCTATAAGACTGCAACTATAGAAATTCTTTAAATGTGGTGTATTAATATAAAAAGTAAAGTAAGTATTGGAAATAGTGGACTGATTAGGAGGATTATTTGAACATATTTAGGGTGACTTTTAATCAGAATAAAAAATACGAACATTTATTTGCCAAACTTAATAACACAAAAAATTTTTACTTCTACGAGGATTTAAATTAATTATACGAACCACCATGATCTCCAGCTACAGCAGAGGCTGAAGGAAGCTCTTTAAAAAGAGTTTTGGAAGAATTAAACTTCCTGAGATATTGGCGACTCAACGAAGCAGCCATCTTTTCAGAAAATCCACTGCCTGGAGGATTGTCAATGAGCCAAGGAAAAAAATAATAGTCAGCTGTTTCGTGTCCTACTCTCTGATTGGTTGTTGGTACGAAATTAAACAGAGGGAGCCAGTGAAGTGTAACCGTATAATTCGCATTACCTACCTTTGTTGTGATTATGAAGTTTTATTTGAATATTATTACCCTCATCCCATGAATGTCTTATTTTTTATATATTTTTAGTAAATAATAAAATGTTTGGTTTCTTAGAACTTGCTATTGGTTTCTTTTTTATTTATTGCGCTATCACGAGGTAAATTTTAATGTGATATTCAACATTAATTCTGGGAAGTGAAATTCAACATTGAAGCATTAAAGATTTTTCTCGCTTTTTCAGATTGTTTCCTCAATGTATTAGATGGATTATAAAAAGGTGCTATCACATAGAGGCTCGAATCGGAAGAATCGGAATCCCTTACATGACACTTCATGATGTACAATTGTGTACTAATGGTTATACGATCGTATGTATTTTGATTTTTGAGTTACCAACTTATAAATGCTGGTTCTTGAAGATTTCTTCACCATTTCAATGTTTTATGCCTCCATATCCGTTCTTTTGTAGTCTATGTCAATAATCGACTATTCTCGAAAACCCATTTATATTGTGATCATGAGGTCTAGGCCCACTCATCAATGTGGATCAACATTAGTATAGCAGTACCATTATAAATTATAGACGCAAAAGTATACCCATATCATTAGTGTCTAGCCAAATTGGTCTAACTGTAAATGTGTCAAACTGATCTAAATTTATTGTCAAGTTAAATACAATTTGTCTGAACCCCATTCTTATTATTACTCAATGTTACTTAAAAAATATATTTAAAAAAATGGTAAATCCTTAAATATATTAATTTCTGATGGACTACTTTTGTATTGGATCGATAACATACTATCAGCTTATCTAATCAGACCCTCAGATCTTAATCCTAAGACTCTCCTAAAGGCGTCAAGAAGAGACTTGTCCTTTTTTCTCAACTAGATTCCAAATGATATTATGGAAAATCAATGGGGAATTTGAGTAAAGATATTGGTAACATATTATAGCAAATATGAGATTAACTTATGCTTATCAATTTTTGACAATGTGACATGCCTTATATCAAAAGGATAATGTTCAAATCCAGATCTCTCTTCACAACAGCTTTGTTTTATAATTATCAGTTGATGGTTTAAAAAAAAAAAAAAAATGGTTTAAGACAGTTTTGATTAGATATAAAACCCCATATAGCCTAGAAGTCGAGGAAATAGAGAACAAAAAAAAAAAGATATAGAAGTATTGAGGTTGTGATGACAGAGCGTGTAAAAGTGTAAGCTTTAGCATTCTGGGTTAAAATTTATTTTGTGGCGGATCCATGGAATGAATTAATGAAACCTTCGTACTCTGGATAGAATAGGTTTGGTTGTACCTTTTGTACAAACCACTGTATGCCAGAAATAGCGAGATAGGGGCTTTGAGTAAAAAGTAATATATATATATATATATATATATATATATATTAAGTATTGTTACTAGAAACACTTACAAGCAAAGAGAATAGGTAGGTTAATGTTACCAACATTTTTTAACTTTTTAAATTAAAAAGTTATACTGATCATTGTGGTTGTGATGTAAGGTGTTTAAAATATAATTTGGATCATTGATTATCATTATTAAGATTTCCATTTGGAAGATTATTTGGTGCTTAAATATTTTGTTGGTGTTAACTTATAATAACAGTATTAAATTGGACTGGTGGAACTATGGCAAAGGGTAATAGAGGGATTTCTTCGAAGAGGATACTGCTACAAGATCATAGTACAAGTCATCTAAAGACCTTATAACTTTTGATATGTTGTTAATTTTTTTTGGTGGTTTATGTAGTAATTATTAAAGATTAATACTCATTAATCATAGAGATATAGAATTAACTTCTAAGTCATAGATGACCCCATCAGGGTCATTTCAAAACCATTCTTAAAATATTCTCTAATCGATGCTCTTTAAAATTAAGATATTTACTATCTTTATTCAATGGTGGTCTTAACTGAAATTGACCAATTACCAAAAACAAACCAGAAAGCTTTAGTGTTTCTACTATGCTTGTAAAAAAGATATATTTTACTATATATCCAACAGTAACAACATTTTGCTAATTTTTATTATTGGATTTTTGTTTTATGTATTTTTTAAAATTATACTGTGGACAAGATAAATAATATACAGTTATGGTATTTAAAATGTTTACTGCATCAATATTTGTCTGCTTAATTTAAAGTTGTTCATATTAGAATAATTTGTTCTCATGGTAAAGCTAAGTCCCATTTATCATAAATTCTTTGACTGTACCACCGACCAAGTTATCTAAAGAATAATTTGTGTAATGCTGTTTAAAATATTTGGTTCAATTTCATTCTTAATTTTTATTGTTGATACATAATTAGAATAGAGATTATAAAACCTCGAGTCTGTAATTCAGGTGAACCATGAACCTGTGAATGTTTTGCCAATTTAGGCATCATCAGCACTGTAAAAATAATATTTCATATATACAACACAAAAGACGCATCAACTAAAAACAACATCAATCCAAGACATCCAAATATATATTCTATAACATTAGGTGTTCATCATATCTTGGAGTATGTTTTTTCTACTTGAAACATTGTATTTGGAACCTAAACATCTTTATATCCTATCATTTAATTGTTGTTCTTTTACAATAATTATTTTTTATTAATATTAAGATAATTTTTAATGGAATCTGTATGTTGTTTATATTATTATATTGGTATGTATCATTTCAGGAAATAGATCAGATTGGGTTTAGAAGTAGTTTCTTGAGTAGTGAAGTTTCAAAATTAGTCAATGTGGTTATTCATGATATGAGGATAAATAAGGACATGGTGAGTCACAGTAAAAACTCAGTTTGGAGACCTCCAGAAACGTTTGATAATGTTCGCATCCCTCCATTAGTCATAACTATAGCTCAGGTATAGTTAAATATTTTTGTCTATGATTGTAATAATTTGATGAGTAACGCTTAAGTTGTTTTCTTTTTTAATTTTTAAAAATATTTTAGTTTGTTTCAGTTAGAATATTGAATTTGACTTTAGCTGTTGTTACCCATTCTTTAGTCCTACATTCTACTCTAACAGAAGTTAGTACAGATGCTTCAGTTGTTCATAGTACTAGATGTCTTCTTGTTTCCCTTAATTTGGCTTCATCGACAGCGAGGCTACTTAGTGTTTCTGGTCGTGTTCATGTTTCAGCTGCTTCTGTTAGTATTGAAGCTTCTTTAGTAGCATCAACACCTCTCACTGTACAGGTAATATACTTGAAATGATTTTTTTTTAAACTATGTTCCATCCTTTTATTTTTTAAATAATAATTTCTTCTCATATATTAGTTCATTTATTTGTATGAATCTCTTTGTACTTTATTATCACCACTTCAGTGATAAAAACCTTGGTAATAATAGAGAAAAAAGTTTCTCTAATTTTGGTTTATTATTTTCAATAATGAAACATTGTGATCGACCAAAAAATTCAAAAACATAACCCCCTCTCAAAATTTGAGGTTTCACGTTTCAAGACGCAGAGAATTCGAAAAACGAATAAAAAATTTTTTGTCCGTCTGCCGTACGCCGTCCGCGCATTTTCTCCGAAACTACTGGACCGATTTTCTTCAAATTTTGATATAAAATCAGAGGTCACCCGAGGATGATCCTCCTTCATCGACATTACTCTCCGCCTTTAACTTTCAAAAATGCGGCCGAAAAACCTGCGTTGCTATAGACTGTAGCTCCTAAACGAATATACAGATTTCAATGAAACTTCGCTAAAGTCATTTTCTCGATGCCCTTTGAATTTATCTATATAACATACTTCAACGAAAAGAAGCTGGAAAAAAAGTTACGAGGGATGGTAAAATTAAATTCCGAATAACTCGAAAAGTTTTTACTTTTTTGTTGATATTGTATATAGTTTTTTAAAAGTTTACAAAATTTCCTAAAAAAAAAAAAAAATCGTTAAAATCGGACAATTAGGAGCAAAGATATGGTCTCCGGTTTTTTTAATGTGTTCTACTCCAAATGTTATATCCTTGGTTTGGTTTTTAAATTTTAAATGTGTTACTAAACTAATGCTATTTTTTTTTTTTTTTTAGCATATTACTAATGATTAAAGAAAAACAGTTTAGTCCAGTAATTGGAATTAACTTTTGTTTTTTTTTGCTTTGTAACTCAGAAGGTAATGTTACTTTAGATGTATAATTGTTTGGAGATAATAAACCATTGTGAAATAATTTGCAGCATTTCTAGAAAGGAATAAAAACATTATTAATACAAACACTTAAATGTTATTTTGAGTTGGTTGAGACAAATTATAATAGAAAATTGCTGTCTTATACCAATGAATAATTCAAAGTTGTTGAACTCCTAAAAACTATTACAAGAATCTTTGAGTTAGAAGCTTTAAACTCAAAGATTCTAGATTATATTCTTTAAAGATAATAGTAATAGTTTATGTATATATATATATATATATATATATATAAATAATGGTACTGAATAAAAGCAAATATTAAGTATTTAAAACAATTAAATTAAATGCTGCTATTTCAAAACTCTTATTAAACAAAATTTTACATAGTGCAATGAATTGTACTCTTGTAAGAGATGGTATAAAAAAGTGCAAAGTGCAGAAAATATTTTAACACTATTTATGAAAAACGTAGGGTACATACTTAATTAACCTTAGATCCTTTAACAGATTTAAATATCAATTAACACTGCTTGAGCAAGAATTAATTTCTACTCAAACTATGGTGTTATGTTAAAGTTGTATGATGCACTTGCTGCACTAAATCTTTTTGAGCTTATTTTTGCCATTCATAAATATCTTCACTATTCCTGTAGTTGTTTTACCATTTTTTTTTTGTCTCAATTTTTTCAAAACAACACATCGCTTCTATGTTACCTTATTACCATTAGCAATGATAGGATTTCTGAAGTTAAATTTTAGTTATACTCTGTTTTTTAGTCAAATGATAAAATTATCACTTTTTTTTTCAGAATGTCTCAGTGTCTTTCAAAAATATGAAAACTGTGATAGATGATGATTTTTTTCCAAATATGGAAAGGAAGCAAAAGAAAGATGTAGAAAATAAGGCTGACAAAGAAGAGAAAACTGATTTCAAACAATTGATTAATACTTCAGCTCCTATTCTACCAAAAGTAACATTTTCTTTTTTAAATATTGATATCTTACATATCATAAAATTGAATTTTATATTGATACTTCTGTATTTTTGTTTTTACCTAAGACAGCAAGGTAACTGTTTTCCGCTTTATTTTTAGGAATTATCGATTAGTTTTGATAATTGCATCATTACTGATGCCACTGATAGAGATAAGACAACTTTACAGAAATTACTTATTAATACAAGGTTTAGACCCTCCATTAGAAAATATTGTAAGTATTTATTTTCAAATTCAGTACCTTGATGGTTTGATACTATTTAATTTTTTTCTCTTACTTATTTTAGGTGGTTTGTATGGTAGTTTTGGAATAAACTTTATTTTTGAAGGATTGGACATGAGATCTGCGACTGATACACAATTAGTTTTAAAACTTATGGAATTTAGTGCAAATGTAATTTATTATTATTATTATTTGTGCAAATAATAATTTTTTATACAAACTTGGTGTCTGTATGATTGTTATATAATAACTATTTAATCAGAATATTTTTATACTGACAATTAAATATTTATTTTCTTTTTTTCTTTTCTATAGTTAGGTGAAAAAGGATTAATAATTAAAACTGTTGTTCGAGAATTCACCACTTTGTATGATCATGATAAAATGAATTGGCTATCTGAGTTCCTTCCTCAAACTGTAAGTATTTAATAATAAAATTCTCAAGAAGAAAAATAAATACGTTCATTTTAATTTTTAACAAATATCACAGCCTTAATGTTATAACATTTTTTTACAAATTTAAAATTTTTTCTCGTTCATTCTGATCCCTAAGAAAGTATTTTACCCTTTTATTAGCTGAACCGTGCGAATACTTCGCACAAACCTTATATTTGTATCACCATCATACGGTTTGAAACCTCCTACTTTTACATTCACTTTTATTTAAGTCCAGGTATAAAATTAGGAATCAAAATTACGATTCGTGCACTCTACGTGATATTCCCTTTCTATTGATACCTCATTCGTCAAAATCCATCACTCATAAGAGCCGGAAAAGGGATATATATTTGAGAAATAATATATAAGAAGGTAAGAGAGATCCTAATCTTGTCACCACAGCGATAAACCGTTTCACTGTTTGAATTTTCTCTCTCCTGCTAACCATTCTTCCACTAAATCATTTATAACTCCTCAGGATGTTCTCCAAATTCAATGATACTATATCTGTTGGAAAGCTGAATTATAGCTCTTCAAAGCTGTATGAATGGTTTTTTGATTTAATGTGTATATAAGGAATAAATAAATAAAAACTCCTTTTAGGTTTTTATTTTTTATCTCCATTTGTAGTTTGTTTACGAAGGTCAAGTTGATGTCATTTTGTGTAGTTTATGTGGCCCTAAATTCCTGCTAAATTTCTTGTAGATAGCTTAAGACGTATTGAAATTATAACATTTTTTCTGATTTTCAAAAATTATTCAAACCGTCCCTCTTCTCTCAGATTTCGTGAAAAAAAAATATATTTTTTTTATTGCTATGAAAATTCGTATTTGGTGGTTTTCTGAGATGTGAAATTCATATTTCAACTTGGTTTCTCCTTAAAAAAATATTTGAACCCACTTTGCTCGTTGGGTCTGTACGGATTTTTCCATTTCAACATTTTATTCATACTATAAAAATATGCTAAATATAAATCTGATGAAATAGAGCTCTTATGAGAAGTATAAATCGAATATAAGTGTAAGAAAAAAAGAGAAAATATTTTATCAGACACAACTGTTATCGATTTCGATAATTTTTTTTTTCATTTTGAAGGGAATTTACTAAGCTTTCAAATACTCATATGTATAATGGGCCAAAAAATGCGTCCTTTCCAAGTTATTTCCAAATTATGAATTATTTGAAACGTCTCGATTCGTTGAGATGGCACCATCATATGGTTTGAAACCTCCCACTTTTACATTCACTTTTATTTAAGTCCAGGTATAAAATTAGGAATCAAGATTATGATTCGCGCTCTCGTACATGGTATTCCCTTTCTATTGATACCTCATTTAATTATATATCCGTGAACTTCTTCTTAAAAAGACTTCTTCTTCTTAATCATTTCCTCTTCTACCGCTGAGCGGTGTGAGGAGCCTTCTTGTAGAGCCGAATCCACAGCTCTCTGTCCTGAGCCAACTGCCGCCTCCTCCAGTCAATATCCCTTCTGTCAAAGGCCTCCTTGACACTGACCTCCCACTTCTTCCTGGGCCTTCCCTGAGGTCTTCTTCCCTCCACTTTACTTTCCAACGCTATCCTGGTCAAAAAATACTTCAATCCAATTTAAAATTTATTTCCCTTTCTTTGAGTTGATTTATTATTAAAGTTTCATAGTTGAAACGCTTCTTTTTAAATTAGAAAAATTTTAAGTATTTTGTAAGATTCAAACTATAATTTGTTTTCTGTTTAACTTAGTTATGTTAATATCTTCAGGATGATAAGGAAAAAATCGTTGAGGAAAAAAAAGATTGGTGGCCTGATATTGACATTGATGCCAAATTTGAGTTTTGGAATGTTTCAACTGCTTTGCGTATGCCCAACCTTTCTCCTGCAGTGGTCGGCTTTTCTCATCTCAAATTCGCTTATGACTCAACATTAAATGGACAAACAGCTTCAGGTAGGTTATTCTATGTGTAGAAACACTCAAAATAATTATAATACAGTGAAACATTTCTATATTGGACAGCCTCTCTCTGATTGTTCAGGAAGAACTCTACCTGCATGATTTTTTCTTTTGGAATAAAAGACTTGTCTTTACTTGATTTGTATAACATGTTATGGGCACAAATCTCTCTTTAAAATTTGTTCCACATTATCATAGTTGTTTTTGATAGTTTCAGCTGCTCCTTGCCCCGCTGTATCATTGTTAAATTATGAGACCACCCATAAATGAATTTTAAAGTCATTGAAGACGAAATCTTCGACCCCTCTATCCACGTTCCTTTCCTTATAGATACGTTTTTGTTACAAGTGGTATGGAAGCATCTCCATTTCATCTTCCTGTCTAACTTTGTTTCATGACCTTTTTGCACAGAATTTTACCTTTGCAATTATCCTGGCGTTTTGAAAATATTTTATTGCCTCTTCTTCTGAAGACGGTGATTCACACAATGTAATAACGTTTTGTCCCGACCAGATTCTAGACAAGTATCCAAAATGTGTTAAGAATATAAGTATTCATTTATTTAACCAGTTATAAAAGAGACATATAAAAAAATAAAAATAATTATTTCCCGTTGGTCTTTTTCTTCTTGAATTTAATATCTCGATTTTTTTTTGTAAGAACAATCCAAAATTGTTAAAAAAAAAAAGAAAATGAAAAAACTATTGAGGGATATTCAATTTTAAGAAAAATATGATGAGCAAAGGAGAAGGGGGTTATATGAAAACTGCCGAAAGAAAAGAAGACCAAAACATAAGACTTAATCCTTCTTAAAAGTACGTTAATGTTATTTAATTTAAAGTAAATCCTTATTGCACCCAAAAAGATTTCTTAGAAGAATAAAAAAAAAATATTTGTTGCATCTGATGTTGATCTTTAGATTTTAATTCATGAAACAGTCGTCGCATTCATAGGAGGGCTAGATTACTATTTTACCTGCTGAAACATTTAAAAATTGTCCATTAGGAATGCTATTCAGTGGAGAGAGGTGTGTCAAGAAAGGTATCACTGTGTATTATAACTGCTACATTATTTAAGATAATATTGAAATTGTAACCAATCCCTGATTTTGTGTGGCCATATCTTAAACCTATAGATATACTTTTTCTCACTGTATCCTTTATATAATAATATTTATGGTAATTTCCTTGATCATTTAATTTATTTGTTCAGAAAAAATTATAAGATGTTTTTATGTAGGCGAAATTTGGGAGCTACTTTCCGAAAGTATTTGGTGTCAGTTAGCGAAGTTTGGTGGTCCAGGTAACTTGCGAAAAGAACACACTTGGGGTACTGCTCTCGCAGCTGGACTGGTATTGGTCAAAGGAGGCAACTCCCGATCATCTGCTCTCTTGGACACGGTTAGGCTAGAGTGGTCGCCACCCTTCGCTGACATTCTGTCACCTCTTGTCAGGTTAGATAGATATAATTGCTATTATCTAATACTTGATAATATATAACATATGGATGATTTTCCAAAAAAAGGAAACTTTGTCCAATGTTTCGGATGGATCATTTTTTATAACTTAATGTATTTCACAAGCTACTGCTTCTGCTTACATATAAACTGTTATGGTTTTTGTTTTCAATTACTAGAATTACTATAAACCACCACATATTTTCCAATATAAATTTGAATAATTCTCTATTAACTTTTTTGTTTTAGTATGCTTGTTTCAAGACTGATAAAACCGAAAAAAACGAAGCAATCTGTAAAACAAAAGAACTTAAATATTTCCTTGGCAAACACTAATCTATTTTTTATTGCAAATAAAAAAGGTAAGTTTAGTTTTATATCATAAAGACTTATAAAATTCATATTAAATTGAAATTGTTATGGGTAACTGTTTCATTGACAATGTTTTTATTTTATTAGAAAAGTGGGGGTGTTTCAAAAATAAATTTACATATTTCTTTGTGAAAATATTTTAGCTAGATTTCTGCAAATTAGTATGTTTTTGTTGGTTAGTAAGCTTATAGAGAATAAATATTATGAATGTGGATTTTCTGTTAAATTATTATAATTCTCAATTTTTTAAAACATAAAAATTAACTTTCAACAGCTGTTTTAATGTCTTCTTCTGTTAATGAAGTTATATATACTACTACTTAAGTTTATTATATCTTCTGATATGAATTTCTGTCATATTGCATCCAAAATACTTTAAGATCATGCAAGTGGTTTAAAGGCTCACATACACTAAACACGATCCATGATCTCTGTGTCTGCCCCACTGTGATATATTGCATTCTATGTGACTGTGCAATACTATACTAATGCAACTAAATCTCCATCTGATAGGTTCTGTTCTGTTTGTTTGAGCTTTTGTTCTTCCCTCTCGTCCTCCAAGATCTTTTCAGTTATGATACTAAAATATGTTAATAGAGGGAGAGAGAGAGAAAAAAAAAATGGAAAATATAATTCAGTTTTATTTATTTGTATGATCTTTAGTTTAATTTACTGATTTTTATTTAATTAATGCAATTCAATCTGTGTGTTTGTAATGTAAAATTACTTTTTGATAAGCTAATTCACTTGATGACGGAAGGGGAAATGTGACTGTTCATGTAATATATCTGGTATAAGGAGGTAATATGCACTCAAATCTGACTCCTTTGAATAAAATTTAAAATGGTCCCCAAAACTGACCCAAGGGTCCAAAATTTGAGTTAGAATTGCTAACCACTACTCCACAATTCTAAATTTTTGAAGTGTTAGATTGTTTATTTATGATTACATATTGGGTTTACACTCTATAATGATGTGAATTTAACTATTTCATAGTTTGTTTGATGTTGCGGGTTGATTCTGCTGGAATCGAAAGTTCATTACCCACTAAGATGAGCTTGGAAGCAGAAGGAATGAAGTTGTCATCCATATCTCCTACAACTTCTACCTTTCTATGCGTCAAATCTTCAGATATTAAGGTCTCGGCTATCAAATTATTTATATTATATAATTCAGATTGTGTAATATTTACCTTAGGTCCTTTTATTAATTTTTTGTTTTTTTAATTGTTCAGAATTGTAGTGGAAGCATTGAACTTCTCAGAGGAGATTGGAATAAATCTCAAAATATCCTACACTTGAAGATTTCGAGGCAAATTCAACTACAGTGGAATCCTAATCTTCACCTAAAATTTATGGAAATGTTTTTACATTTAACGGATTTTTACAAAGGAGTTCAAAATAAAGGTTTGCTTTATAATCATTACATAATTAATTTGATTGGTTGAAATTCATTTGAATAGTAGAACTATGATTTTAATCTAATGATCCAAAACTTATGTTAATTTGAACTAATGATTTGTTGACTAAATGTATCTGTTTTGTTTTCAGATCATCATTCTTTATCCAAGCAAGATGTCAGTAATAAACAATTAAGTATGGATATAGTTATTACAGGAACTGTAAGATTAGTGTTAAAGCTTTCTAAACATCACTATTTTACATTAACTACAGGTTATTATCTTTTCTTTACTCAAATATACTATTGTCATACTGTTAAATTTATATGGTCTTGGATATCCTAAAATTTGTAAATTGATAAAGAAAAAAAAATCGTCTAGTCTATTAATATACTTCTGTCTTAATTAATCCAACAGAAGGAGTGTGGTAATATTTGGGAATAATTTTTATCAAAGACGAATCTTATAAATCAATTGAATTTTATTTATAATAATTATGGCTTTTTACTCATCATAAAATCAGATATCATATTTTAGCACAAGTTTTCTTTGTTTTTTATATTTCAGATGATTTCATTTATAATAGGTCTGGTATTGATTGCTCTTGGTCAACTTCACAACTGAAAATGGCTGTAGATAGTGCTGATATATTTACAGTTGAAGCATTAGGATTCGCGATTGTGCATGAAAACAGTCGCTGTAAGGATATTGTAAAACTCATCAAGACAGAGAGATGCAACAATGAAGAATTCGTTTTGCCCTGGAACAGAACATGGTAATGAATGTTTGTACTATTATATAAAAATTTACTACTCTAATATTATAAGCTAATAATTTGAAGTTGAATCTTGAGAGTGAAACATAAGCCTTCTCCCTCTTCGTAACCTCAGACAGCTGTCTTGCCCAGTTGCTTACACTATGAGTTTTAAATATGAGAATATATCACAGTACAGAAAGTAAATAACAAGACTGTCATAAGGAAGGTTATTTTCAAAAATCAATCACAGTCATTAAAATAGCCGTAGTTGCTTATTACTATTAAGTTCAAAATATTTCTTCTCAATAGGATTAACATGCGATGCTTGTGATAAAACTTGTTGGATACATAGAGGGAGATAATACTTTTTATCTTAGTGCACGCAAAATTAAGTGTTCTTCCATTAATGGTTTATGTATAATTATGTTTATATTCTCATTTAAGACCATTGATTGCTAATATAATTTTCTATTGATAGCTGTCAGCTGTTCTGCTAGTATAGTTCCATACTTTTGTTACTTATTTAACCGTCGCTACATCTCAGTTAGGGCTTCCTGCATCTTAAATCACTAGTCATCTCTATTATTTGCAACTGCTTTCCAGTTTCTGAGACCAAAATGTTTTGGTGTCCTTGTTAACACAATCTATCCATCATAACCTCGTTCTTCTAGTTTTGTAGGTCTTTTCTTAGAGCAATTTTAGAGGAATCTCTTCTGGATCCATTATACTAAAATGCCCGGTCCACCAAAATCTTTCAACTTTAATAAATTTAACTATGTACACATAACCATAAAGTAGCATAATTTCTCTGTTGCTTTGCTGCTGCCAGATGTTATCAGAGCATGTTGGATTCTTCTGAGAATTCGTCTTTCTAATTGCATTAGCATCTGTTCGTGGCTGTTGATGAGGGTTCAGCATTCAGATGCATACATTACTACTAGTCTGATGAGGGTTTTGTATAGACGCCATTTCGTAGTCCAAGATGTTTTGCTTTTTAGGTGCTTCTGCAAACCAAAATAACATCTATTAGCTGCTATCTTATCTGCCTTATATTAATTTCATGTTGCTTGTGCACTTGTCTGCATTAACCTGAAACATATTTTTTAAGTTGCCTTTTAAAATATCTTTAAAATTATAATGGTTGAGGTTAATTATTTTTTAATTGATTTATTGCATCATGCAGTTTTTCTATTGTTAGTTGTATAGTATAAGAAATAATTGCTTTTTATTATAATTTTGTTCTCATGTTATTATTGATCTTTAAAAATTGCTGTTAATTTTAGGTCATTGTTACGGAAAAAAAATAAACTAGACTTTTTAATCTATATATCTATATATTTTGTTAAGGAATATTCTTATGGAATGTTATTAAAACTATTACATCAGGTTCATTAAACTTTCTTCAGGCATATTAAAATGAGGAGTATAAAGGCGATATTTCCTTATGAGCATAATTTTTCTTCTGCCTTTCAAGATGACTTCATTACTGTTTTTAAATGGTTGAAAAGATTGCACAAAAAGTCTCCAGTGCAATATCAAAAACTGCCCCTACCTCCTGACCTTCTAATCAAGGTGACTATTTTAGTATTAAGATTTTTAATCAAGTAAACTTTTTCATTCAGAGAAAAGAAATTATTCATTTTTTAAAATTAGTTCTCATGAGAAAGTCGAACATTTAATTATTGAGTAAAATTAAATTTTATTAATTTTTTTTTTTAATAAGATTTCTAAATTGAGTGTGATAAAAAACAAAACAATATTTACGCAAACTAACTTTCAACTAAAATTAGTTGAATTTTGAAAACTTAAATGGAGAAATTGGTGAGGAGTAGCAGGAAAAACAAAAAAATATCTAGTAATATCTGCCATAGATAGATAGATAGATAGAAAAATAATTTTATTCTGGGACACAGTCCCTTAAGAATAACAAAATAGAACAAAATTAACAGATCACATCTGGCCAAAATAAAATCAATCGAAAAAAAGAAATAATGTAAAAAAAATATAAGGTAAACATTCTATATAAAAAAAAACGAAACTATATACAAAACAATTAATACTATGACAAGGCACTTAAAGCTATTTGCACTAGTATACACTTTTAAGAAAATAATAAAGAATTAAAAAATAAAAATGTATCAATGAATCAATCAATGAATTTGTATGTATCAAATTCTCTATTGAAATCAGCTCGAATGGTTAGCAACTATCTGACTGTTCTTGGGATAGGAATTGGAATAGGAGGGTTTTGAATTTGGATATGGATGGGGAATGTCGAATTTTGATAGGGAGGGAATTCCAGAAATTGACAGAGCGAACAACAAAGGAATTTTGGAATGAGGCAGATCTGTGAGAAGGCATGTAAAGATTAGAAGGTCGAGATCTTGTGGACAGGGAATGGACTGAGGATTTGAACTGGAGAAGATTGTAGGCGTAAGAAGGACGATGGCTGTTGATGATTTGGTAGAGGAACGTACCTAGGAAATATTGTCTTCGGAAGGAGGGGAAAAGCCACTTTAACTCAGCATAGTGGTGAGAAACATGGGAGTATCTTGGGGCCCCGATCACAAATCTTACACAGCTGTTCATTAGTCTTTTCAGTCTATCACGGAGCTCCACAGAGAGGCCATCATACACCACACAGCTATAGTCAAAGTGGGGGAAAATGAGAGAGGAAACTAGGAGTCTACGCGTATGTTGAGGTAGGAGATGGCGGAAGCGATGGAATAGTTTGAGGGTGGAAATTGTCCGTCGAGAGATATGAGAAATATGGTGATTCCAAAGGAGGTTTTGATCAATGAAAAATCCTAAGTTTTTAACAGAGGAGTAGAAGGAGATTGGCTGGTCATTAAGGTGAAGGATGGGAAAGTCTGGATGGGATCTAAGAAGGGGCTTGGAAGCAATGACAATGGCCTGAGTTTTGGCGGCATTTAACCTTAATCCATTTACATTTGCCCAGGCACTGATTCGATCTAGGTCTTCTTGGATCTTGGCAAATGCCCCCAGTAACTCAGGAGGGGAAAATGATAGGTAGATCTGTGAATCGTCTGCATAAAGGTGATGGGAACAATGGAGAATTGATTTAGGTAGGTCGTTAATGTAGGAGCTGAAAAGGAGAGGAGATATGCTTGAACCCTGGGCAACTCCAGAGGATAAAGAAAGGAAGGCAGATAGTGGTTGGTTGGGTATGGAGACTGCTTGGGTACGTTGTGAGAGGAAAGATTGAAACCAAGAGATGGAACTATTGGAGAAGGATAATAATTTCAGTTTGTTGAAAAGGATGGAATGGTTAATGGAATCGAAGGCTTTGGAGAAGTCGAGAAGGATAAGGATGGTTAACTTTTTATCATCTATTGCAGTTTGAATGTCGTTGGTGATTTTAATTAAGGCGGATTGTGTGGAGTAGCTGGGACGGAAACCAGATTGGAGAGGATCAAGTTGGTTGGACTTTTCAAGGAAGTTGGAGACTTGGGATTGCACCAATCTTTCTAGGGGTTTCGAGAGGTTGGAAAGAATTGAGATTGGGCGGAAATCTTCGGGTGAGGTCGGATTAGAATTTTTATTTAAAGGAAGGACAATGGCTTGTTTCCAAGATGTAGGGAATACTGAATTCTGAAGGGAGAAATTGTAGATGAAAAGAAGGACTGGGAGGATTTCAGGAAGACATAATTTTATTAGTTTGACAGGGATGCCGTCAGGTCCTATGGAATTGGTGTGGGATTTCATTACAGCGGTTAAAAGGTCTGTAGGGGAAATGTCGGAAAAATAAAAGTTATTGTCGTTAAATGGTATCTCTATTGGGAAGTCGGAACAGGAGGATAAAGGAGAGGTATTAGCAACAGATATAAAATGCGAGTTTAGATCATCAGGGGATATTGGAAAGGCTGGAGTAGGGGATCGGGAAGGATCACAAAGGGAGAGTTTACGAAGCAGTCGCCATTTTGATTTTATGTCAGGAGTTGAGGAAAGGGCTTCGTGGAAGTAGAGGGACTTCGCACGCCGGATCCTTGTTTGTGTCAAGTTGCGAAGCACCCTGAACGCTTGGTAGTCATCTGCAAGCCTAGTACGTCTGAAGCGTCTACGAGCAGCGTCGCGCCTCTTCTGCAGGTCTTTAATTTCCTGACACATCCAAGGAGCAGGCCGGTGACGAAATGTAGAGGTTTTGAGAGGGGCATGGGTATTGAGGATATTGAGGAGATTGGTAGTAAGAATATCGACCATAGAGTCGATAGAAGTGCAAGAATATATTTTATTCCAATCTAGGATTTCCAGGTCAGGTAATATTTGTTCTCGTGTAAGGGAATCTAGATGGCGGAAGGTGATAGTTCGAGGCTGAATAGGAGGAGTTTGGATATTATATGTTATTTGTATCAGATCGTGAGATGACAAAAAGGATACTGGCAGTTGTGAAGAGGAGAGGAGGTTTTGTGCAGAGTCTATAATATAGAAATCTATCCAAGTGTCGGACCTGCTAGTATGGTGAGTGGGAGAAAAAGGAACGATAAAGAGGTGAAGGGAGAAGAATAGGTCTTCTAGATAGGATTTGTCATTGGAGTTAAATAGGAAATTGGTATTGAGGTCACCTGAGATGATTATTCTGGGATAGAGGGGAACGAAATTCAATAGGGTAGATTCAAAGGACGTGTGAAATGGAACAAGAGGAGGACGGTATACCACAGCGTTGAGGAGAGGAGAAGTATTACAAAGGATTTCAACTAATAGGTATTCAATTTGTGGGTGGTTGGAAGATGGGGATAAATCGAGTATTCGGGTCTTCAGGCTATTGTGGACATATATGGCTACTCCACCGCCAGTCCGGCTTACCCGGTCATGACGGAAGAGGTTGTAATTAGGCAGGGAGACAGAAGAGGATGGGATATAAGGTTTGAGCCAAGTTTCGGAGATAGCTATAATATGGTAAAAATTTTGAGTGAAATATTTCAGGAATTCGTCATAGTGGGCGGGGAGGGATTGAGAGTTAACATGGCAGGTGATTAGGGTACTAGACATGAGAAGTATTTGGAAGGAGACAGTCAGAGTTCAGTAGAGAAACACTAAAACAAATAAAAAATACAGAAAAGCTATTACAATTAATGAAAATGAGAAAAAAGAAAGTGTTTAAAGAAACAAAAAATAGAAAGCATATAGTAAATAATACATAGGCTAATATGTGGAAGTGAAGAAATATAACTAAAAGCGAAAATCTTTCTTCGAAGGGAATTTTGTCAGTAGTTATTTTGATAAGGATGGAGGGTAGACGAATTCTGTGTAGTCAGGTAAATATATCGAGGTCCGAGGCCGATATAGAAGGGCAGTGAATTTATTACTGCATAAAAAAAAAACTGATATGGTGTACATATCATACAAGTTTACTTTTTAGACTTTATAATTAATGTTCAACTCCAATAAGGCAAGTTAATATCTAATTATTCAAATTTATCATCGCAGCTAAAATTATTAAAGATTATCATACGTTTTTCCTGCCCTCAAACTCTAGTTGAAATATTTTCTGGGTCATAAACTTCTTCAAATCTTCTCTTCATACAAAAGTATGACGAAATAGATTTTAAATGATTCCAGAATGGCTATTAGATGCACTATATAATTTTTGGTTTGCCAAGCTAAAAATGCTAGCAAAAAATTCCATTAGTTTGGAATTTTTAAGATTTTTGTAACAGTCCATTACCTTCTATGACTTTATTTGTTAGAGGTTATTTTTCTAAAATCTTTAGCTTTTCAACAGTATAATATAATTTATATAATATTATATCGTCTTTAAATTTATTTTCAGTCTGAGCAATTTTTTTTTTCTCTACCCTTCAAGTTATTATTGGCATGGATCTTAATCCAGCACTGGCAGTTTTCCCAGTCCTTGGTCTTTTTGAGAAGTAAGGTATATGGTCGTTATAGGAAGTAAAAATGCAAATAATTACATGGCAAATGATCTGTCAGTACACCTGGTTTACCTTTAAAATTCTATTCAATATCTCTTGATCAATCTTATCAAACCTACGTATGATGATTTTGAGATTTGTGTACTCATTTACTTCTTCTAGAATCTCCCCATTACATAACATTTCAGTCTGTTCATCTTTATTCTGCAAAATAACTATGACCACGCTCTTCAAGTTGTTGATGGACATTCCTTTCTGATGTAGCTCCTCCCATTCCTCCCATTCCAGTTAGTGTACCTTTTCTTTCGAGTCTGTATCGAGTTCCTCTATATCTCCTTCAATATCCAATCTTCTTTCTCCTAGGAGAGTAGTATGCTACACTCTACTTTCTGAATTTTCGAGCATTTGCACTTTCACTGTTATAGCTTTGTTTGTTTTAAAGTATGGCCAGTTGTCTCTTAATAGCAATGAAGAATTGCTTTATTTCCCTATGATAGATAAAATAGTGAATCACACTGTTCCTATGTGAAAAGGTAATTTTATATATATATATATATATATATATATATATATATATATATATATATATATATATATATATATATATATTTTTGTGTGAATTAAAAGAATTTCCAGTAATAATATTGATGTTCATACAAAAATCATTTTCTCTTTTTATGTTAATTATTAAATTCTTTCATAGTTTATATTACCATGTCCAGACTATAACTACCTTAAATAAGTAATTTCAGTTTCTTGCAATTTTTCATTTTCGAGCTAGACTCTTCACATACACAGACACCCATATAGACCATTTAGTGAGACTTGTTTATGTGGACTCAGGAGACCATAAAATGTTTATTTCTGTTGTAACATTCAGATTTTTCATTTTTCACATTCGCATTATTTTTTTTATATGCATGTGAAAGTGAAAATAATTGATTGATTTTATATAATTTTTACTATAACTTTATTTTTACATTTCTGTCCTCGAATTGTTAAAACATTGTTGAATATTATAAATTTTCTGAATTTTATAATTGTAACTGTTCATATTTGTACAATAGTTTTGTAAGGCGAGTAATGTTATTAAAATTAACATAAGTTGCATCATGCTTTTGAAAATGTATGACCAACCCGAAATGCAAATAAAGTTTTAGTGTTGTTATGAAGCTTCATTATTCATCTTCCAAAACTATTGTTCATTGATAGCAGTAACTGATCTTCTAAAACATATAACTTAAAAAACTTTATATTTAATTTTTGATTCTAATTGAAACTATATCTATTAACTTGTTAAAAGTTTTTTATTATTTGGTAATTTATAGATAGAAGACTTTTTGTTTGAAATGAGTGATGATCCATTTGAAGTGCGGCTTAGAGATAACTATGAGTTACTTGAAGATGAATATAATGAGAGTTTGAAGAGAGAGAAAATGCTGGATGAGAAGGTCTTTTTTATCATGACATTGCCTTTTGTTATTCTAGTATAGCATATATATTAAAATTTTAGTAATTTCAGATCAATGAAATGATGAAGACTGATGTTATGCTTCCTGCAGGAAAAGTTGAGGAGCTCTACAATACCTTGTCAATTCTTAGCACTCGGATTTATATTAAACGTTCCAAACTAATGAAAGAACAAGGGACACGAACAAGATTGTTTGCCTGGCTTGTTTCCGATTTACAACTGTTGGCTTTAACTGATCCTACGATCCATGGTCCTGAAAATGTTGTTGACAACATGACTCAGATAGACCCCGAATCGTGAGTATTAATATGAAGTTGAGTAATTACAGTGATAAATATGATTTATTTTTTCATTTAACCTGTTCTAATGTTATGAAAGGAAAGATATTTTTATTTAGAGTTTAAAAAAAAATATTTAGTTTTAACAAATTGATTGATTAAAAAAGTAACATAGGTTGCACTATCTCCAAGATAATAAAATATGCCATTTTTAAAATGTTAGTGTGAAATGAAAAATATCATATATCCTGATCCTTACAAGATTTTATCAATCTTAAATTTGATGCAAGGAAGATTGATAGCATTGAAGATGCCTGATGTTAGTCATATGTTAATTAGGTTTAAATAGAATTGTAGAGACCCAAGGCTTTACTTTTCTTCTCCTGATTTTATCTTTAGAGGTCTTAGTCCAATTGGCGGTCTATTATCTATGTTTGTCACTCCAAGTACTTAGTCATTTATGGTTGTGCACAGATATCCTTTGGGCAAGATACTTTTACATAGCTTACTTAACCTAACTTCCTTTCATATTGTGCAATACTGTCTCATGTTTTCTTAATTATGAGGGTAACGGGAAAGGGACTTATATAAGTTTAGGTAATAATTTATGCATTAATGAAATAGTTGCCGCTTTTAAAATCAGATTGTTTCTCTGAAGATGCCTGAAGTGGCAAAAGTTTGGATGATTTCATAATACAATATTTTATTAATGAGACTAGTAAGGCCTAAATTACTACCTGTGATTTCTTATTTTACTTTTTTGTTTTCCAATATTTTAATTATGTCAATTTATTTGTATTTGAAGAAAAAAGCTTTGCTGTTCTCGCTTATCAATGATCTCTCCAAGCTCATTTCTTTCTCCCTCAATCCATTCATTACCTATTGAAATGGGAAAACAGGTCACTTTTTTTTTCTAAAAATGTTTTCAGTCCCTGGCCTGCTGAAGGACTTGAATTCAGCACACTTTGGTGCCGGGCTGTGGTTATAAATTGCAAAGAACTCAAGTTTCAGCTAAGAGATTTTCCTCAGCCATGGCTTGACCTTAGGGAGCTCCAGATGTGGGGGAAGGTTGTAGGTGCTGAACAGATACCTACAAGGAGAGGTATGACATCTGCTTATCCATTTACAACAATTTCAGAGCTTGTTTGAAATCTGAAATATTTTAGAAATTATGATTTTTTAGCAAAGCGTATTGTGAAACTGGAACTTGGAGAAGGATGGAATAGCGTAGAGATTGAAAGAAGTATGACTTCTTTAAAACTGTACCATGATCTCAACTGTGAGATAGAACATTTTAGTTATGCTTTTGGACCCTGTTGGGAGCCAGTTATTGCACAATGCAATCTTAGTAAGAAATGCTTATTATATATATTTTTTTTTTTGTGTGCAATTATTTAAAATGAAAATTATAATTAATTCTTCCAGATAGCTATATAATTAATACAAATAAGCATTTACAATGTTCTTTGAAATTATTTATATTTCTATGATTTTAGGCTTTGAAAAGATAATGCGTGGCTCACTTGACCCTAGTCCACCACTTCCTCTTTGGGATAAATTGCGATTACTTTTGCATGGCCGAATCACTCTTGTTATTAGACAGCTAACAGTATTGCTTCATGCCTCTCTAGATCCTTATAATAAGACGGAAGAAATGGAAATAACTTGGTCATCTGTTGCTATTGATTGGACAAATGGTATGAATTTGTAATTATATGTCTGTTTCTAAAAAATTGACTTTAAAGTATACTTCATGTTTTTAGCAATAGGATAGATCATAGGTGGAAAACCTGTTTATCATTAGAGGCCTAACAGTAAGGTTAGGCAGTACTAATGGAGGCTGCAACAATTCTTTGTATTTACTGTTGCTGTATTTATTACCATTAAATATATACATCTACATTTTTGCTACTTAAATAATTAAGTATTTATTAATTCTAGTGCTAGATTAATAAATATTGCTCATAAATATTTAAAGGCCAGAACTATGTCATGAGGCCTCAAGGCCGCAGTTCTCCGCCTATGGTATGGATATTGGTAGGTATTACAGCTAATGTACATATTTTTTAAACTCTACTATTATTCTAAGGGGACTTCAGGCCCAGAATAAAATTATTTTTCATTTCATTATTGTTGAGTAGCTTTACGCACAGGTCAAACCAGAACATTTTGTGCTTATAATAGATGTTGATCTTGAATTTTACTAATTCATGATTCATTTATTGAGAATTGGTCAGGTTAAATAAAAATTAAATTTTTTTCTATCTTAATCCTGACACTATGTAGAGTGTCTTTTTGTGCCCAATAGAGCTAATAGTTCCAGTAATTGTGCCAGTTTTCGTTGCATTACTTATGGCCTATTATGTTGGTCTGTACATAAAGTAATTCATGTAATATATATTTTTTTTTTTTGCACTTACATATATTTATCTGCACCTGTCAATTATAACTATTGACAATCAGCAGATGTGCTGGCACAGTCATAAGAAAATAAAAAAAATAAATAAAAAGGCTTGATAGGCATGAGAAAAAGCAATACCCAGCGGCATCCCTTCTATGGCTTTTACTTACTTACATATAATTACGTAAGTAGGTCCCTCATCCTGACCCTTTTCAGTCGTCTTCTGGAGTTCTCCGGCATAATAGTCTTCCTTAATAGTCTCATTTCTTTAATTAGCTGGTTGGAGTGTCCATGTAATTTATTATGAAATCGTTTGTAGTAAGTTCGTATGTGTTCATTGATCGTTGGCATGTGTAAGTCAGTGTGTAAAGTGTTATTATTCACGTACCAAGGTGCTTGGGTAATTAGTCGTAGTATCTTAGACCGAAAAGTTTGAAGTCGTTTTATGTGTGTTGGTTTTGCAATTCCATATATTTGTAGTCCATAAGTCCAGAGAGGTTTTAATAGGTATGTATAAATATTTAATTTCGAATGCCGTCTTAATAATGAATGCAATAGTTTTAATCTGTGATTTAATGATGCACGTTTTTTCTTTACATGTCATTCTTCTGTCAAACGTCAGGCCTACGTATTGTACTCTATCTGTTTGTGGAATCGGTATGTTGTCTAAGTATACAGCAGGGCATGTTTCTAGTCTTAAAGTAAATGTGATGTGTTGTGACTTTTGATAATTTATTTGAGTTTTCCATAGTTTACACCAATCGTTTATTTTTTGTAAATGATGTTGTAGGTTAAGTGATGCCTGTGTCGGATTATCGTGTCTAGTAATGATAGCAGTGTCATCTGCGTAGGTTGCTGTAAGTGTGTGGATACTTTGAGGAATGTCGTGTGTGTATGTGATGTACAGTAGTGGGGCTAAGATTGACCCCTGAGGTACGCCAGCTAAAATAGGTCGAATTGAGGATAGACCTGAACCGTGTCGAGCGGAGAAAAATCTGTCTGAGAGAAAGGAGTGAAGAATTAAGTATTAGGTTGGTGGGAGTATGGTCTTAAGTTTGAAGAGAAGCCCCTCATGCCATACTTGTCGAAAGCTTGGGCGACATCCAGAAATGCTCTGGTTGCATATAGTTTCCGCTCTAATGCTGTCGGTATGTAGTCAGTTACCCTGTGTAATTGTTGTTTTGTTGAATATAATTTTGGAAACCCGAATTGATGCTCAGGAATAATCTGTTTGTCTGTTAGTGTATGTAATATTCGTGAGTATAATAGTTTCATGAAATTAACTCTGATCTATTACTGAAAAAAAATGTATTTTGGATTGGAATTTTTATCTATGATGAAATATTGATGTACAATGAAGTATTTTTGACTTTTCACAGCGTTAAAATAATCATTGATTATAGACATATTTAGTATATTTATGTAAACTACATAGCATAGTTTAGTTTCAACTAGATTAAGTAATTAATGAAGTCAATATCTTTATTTTAGCAAAAGTTGTGTTCAAGGGAAATCTTGACATTTATGTCAGAACGGCTTCAAAGTATGATGATTGTCGACTTCTACACCTTCCGAATCTGAGACTGAGTGTTAAATTAGGATGGGCTTGCATTGGTGATCCAAATGACCATCACTCTGTCATGCCCTGTGCTCCGGACAAGCTGCCTGATTATTCCAGCAATCAGGTACTTCTGAAGTTTGTGAAGTGTTATTCTGACTTCTTCAACTTTTTTTTTTACTCTTTGATGATGGTATATAGAAGTGGGGCCTGTATACTGTATACTGATGGAGCTGCTGAGTGCTCTATTTCTCTTCAGAGGTTAACAACAGTATAGTGCTGACAAACTTCAACCTTAGAGGTATCCAACGGTGTTTTATAAAACATATAGTACCTTTCATAGGCAGCTCGATTTTCCTTCTGTTTATATAGCTGAAGAGGACTAAGATCATCCCTCTCAATGTCAGATGTCATATCCTTTTAAAATTATTGTAATTTTTTGTTTTCAATTTAAAATTTGTCATGTCCGCTCCAGTATCATGTCATAAGACATCATACAAAAATCAGAGGAAAAACATTAAAATTGTTTATTTAACTATGTATATGTATATTTTTTAATCCAAATTATATGGTAGAGTAACAATATCGGATAATATTACGATAAATACTTTGTATGGCATTATAAATGAATTCATGAAAAACTCATCTATATAATCTTTTTTTTTTTTTTTCTGTCATCCCTTCCTCGCCTTTTAGGCCAAACGGGTTTTTTCCTGGGTCAGGGGATAGGGCAGTGAAATTTTGCTGAGTTAAAGTCCCATTGGCTCCGGGATTTGAACTAGTAATCGTTGGTTTATCGTCAGGTTACCTAAACAATGCATGTTTTATATAACATGTTATGTAAAAGGAGTGGGCACTCGGCCACCTCGCTCAAAACATTTATCAGGATTCAAGTATTGAACTGAGGACCTTTATAATACTTGACGCTCTAGCCCATACACCACTACCACACTATCTCTCATACAGATTTGCTGTTACTTGAGACGAAGGGAGCATTCGAAGCTAAAAAAAAGTTCACTATCAAAGGGAAAAAGATGCCATCTGAATATCTCCATTCCACTGCATACTACTTGATCTCCCACCCATCATCAAAGAGTTCAAATTAATTTAGATATATTATGACACTTTTAATATTATGTTTTAGCTTTTATTTAGATATACACTTTTTTTTATTTCTAGTTCTTGGTAAAAATAAATAACATCCAAAGTCTAATATATTTTTTTAAAAATTGTTTTTAAATTTAATTAAATATTATATTTAATGGAAATTATATTTCATTATTTGTTTTTTAAATTAAGAAATCAATGGTTAAATAGGTAGTGATATTTTCAGGAACATGATTCCTTCAGGGCATTCCGTTCTCAAAACCTTAATATTCGTTTAGCTTTGGAAACTAAACCTGTTGCTTCAAGTGTTGGAAATGATTTTAATTGTCCTGTGGCACTGTTATATGGCAGCACTTTGAGGTGAATTCAATTTTGATTTTATGTATAATTGATAACTTTTTTTTAATGCATGTATATTCCTAAACAGTTAAGTTTGAATTTTTAAAGGGTATTTAGCTTGTTGCTAGTGGAATAACTATTGTCTATATATACTACATATATCTTTAGCCATCTTAAACAACCATTCATCACTTTTATTATGTAGAGGCTATTTATGTTTCAATATAACCAAGTTTTAAATTATAAAAATATCAACAAAAAAACAGGAGTTCTACCATTATAAATTAGCATTATTGATAATGGATTAAGAACTGATTGTTGTAAATTTATTAATGAGAAGTTGGTTGGAGTGTTCAGTCAAACATAGAACAAAGTATAATTATTAATTATTAAAAATGTAATATTTACCTGACAATACATATATTTATTTCTGTCCACCTATCCTAAATTTATCTTGATTCCATCAACAATCAACTATATCTCTGTAATATTAACTTGTATTTGATTTGATTTTTTTTTAATTTGCTCTTCAAGGTGGTTTGAAAATCTCAAATTGATTCTATCTGGTGTTACACGCCCTACTAGAAGAGGGTCTGTTTTTCATAATCTCCGTCCAAGAAAACTTCCACTTTCTCGTCATTATAAGAAAGTGCATCTATTATTATCATTACATACTTTTCAAGTTCATTACTGGATGTCTTTTTCAATGCAAAGGGGTTTTGAACTGACTGGAGAATCAATAGGTTTTAGTTCAGGTATTTTTGTAACTATTTATTATATTATAATAAAATAATTTAATTTTAACTATTCATAATAAAAATGTAAAAATAAATTGCACAAGGACATACAAATATTAAAATATATAATTTATATTTTATATTAATAATATATTCAATTCTACTCATTAAAGATTCATATTTTTTTCTTTTTTCCTCCAGAGCATTTGCTTTGCTTGGTACCCATTAATGATAACTTGAAACACCGCCCTCGTGCTGAATGGAGTGTTGTCTATATGACTTGTGAACTACATGCTGCTGAAATCTGGCTCCGTTCTGCCATTCAAGAAAATAAAGAATCAAATGAGGTTTGTAATTTATTATTTGTTTATTTTGTTGTATTTTCGTTTATATAAATATGAAATTAAACAAGTATTTGTCTTTATACTTTTCTTTTTAGAAGTTATCACTGAGACAGCCAGTCGAAAAGTGTTATTTTCTTAGTGTTGGAAAAGTATCCTATGGTAGAGAAGGCGTAGGTTTAGTGGATAGTAAGGTAAATCCAACCCATCGTCTTGTTGTATATGGTTTAAAAGGGGCTTGGACAACCAGTAATAGGGATGTGGTTGCTGCTCTTTATGATACTTTCATCAAAACAAAGGTAGGAACAAATTTAATATTTTATGCTTTTACTTTTTATTATATTGTGACATGGAATTAAAAGAATTAGCAGCACTTTTTCACTTAAGGCTAACTGAGATATATTCATTTTAACTAAAATGGAAATTTTTAATAATTATTCTAATATGTTTTTTATTTATCTAATTATTATACATATATTATGTATATCTTTTTACCAGTTTATGTATCTCTGAGGCTCCTTAGCCCACATTTCTTGTATTATTCTAAAGGGACTCTTCCCAGAATAAATAATGTATTATTATTATTTATTTGTCAACACTTTTACAAAAGGTTTTTTGAGAGGGGGAGAATCAACTCCAATCACCTCAGGTATATTCTATTTTAATTTCTATTGGATGTTGAGAAAGCTTCTTACAATTCTGACAGTATTCAACAGTACCACTTTCTGAGCTTCATTTATTATATGAGCTGGGAGCTGGGAACTTCCACCGTAGACACTGGTATCAGGCCATTGCTGGAGACCACAATGTCCCTAGCTGTTACTTTATTAAGTTTATACAAACTTTTTTAACTCAGCTGCTAGACCTTGATACTTCCGAATTTTTTCTGCACATACTGAGTTAATTTTTCTGTCATTTGACAGAGCGATATCTTTAATCTCAGCTACCTTGATATTAATTAACACAATATCAGGTCAGTTGTGAGTCACGAGATGGTCTGTTATAAACGATTGATTCCAATATAATTTTATTCCATCTTTCTGGCAGAGTCCTTTAGGGCTGTATTTATAGTAGGGCTACTGAATCGTTTAATAATTTACTTTTCCAACCAATCTCCTGGTGATAGACTTTGGCAACATCTTCATGTCTTTTTAGGTATTCTGTACCTGCAAGAGCTCTGCAACCTCCAGTTATGTGTTGAATGGATTCATATGTGCTTGCACTGAGCCTACATTTGTCCGATACATTCTGTTGCTTCAAGACGTCTCGCCAGTAGGATCTCGTAGCTATAGCCTGGTTCTGGATTGCAGTTAAAAAACCTTCAGTCTCAGAAAACAGACTTCCTCCAACCAGCCATCTAACGGACATAGATTTATCTATTTCAGTCTGCTGAAGCTGGTGAAAAAACCTTTTATGTAACGCTTTTGACTTGCACTCTTCCAGTCAGTGATTGTCGGTAATAAATATTGGCGCAGCTTCTTGAGAGGCTAATTGTGTGTCCGCGATTAACTTATTATTATATTATTGTACATGTAATATTTAATATTAACATGTTAATATTGCCATTATTAGCATAAATTTAATTAACCATTGTGTAGACTCTCATTAGTTTTCAATAAAAATATGAACTAAAGAGGGAGCTACCTAAAACAAATATAGTTGGATATTAATAATAATGAGGAAATTCAAGAAAAGATTTTTGATTGATGTACTTAAAAATATATTAATTTTATCTGCAGCATTGCTGTAAAACTAAAGTATTTTTCAAAAAATACTTTTATGTGAAAGTTCTACATTAAATTGAAGAACTTGTTTGATGTTGGACAATTATGTCCTTCTTAGTTTCTAATAAAACTATTCAGGTTTGTTGAAGAGTTCTAATGTCCGTATAAAAGAACTAATCAAACAAAAGCCTGATTATTTATTATAATTATTTATAGCAAAATAATTTAATGCTCGCTATTCATTTTAGCAATTAAAAAAGAATCTTTCAACAGAAGCACTTAAAGGGTTCCGACGTGAACCTAACACTTCGCTTAAACCTCAGTCCCATCCAACAGAGCCTAACCAAACCCCAAATATTTCTACATCAAATACCAATAATCTGCAGGTAATTATAATTTCTTACATTCAATTTTTTCAACTAATTTTAAATTATAAAAATAATAATTTCAATGAAACAAATCAGCAACAGGCAACACCCTCACCATTAAGTAAACTTCAATGTGGTCATGCAGCTACAATGCTACAACAGCTAATCGCTGAAGCAGACACAAAAGCTGTAGTTTTCAGTGATGAACCAACAACGGAAGCCAATGAACAACAGCTGCAAGGTTTAGCAGCTTGCCAGCATACGGATGATGTCATTCATAAAAACTGGTTAAGTAAGTTATCAAAAGTGACTTTATTTTTTATTTGTTTGTTTTTAACAAAAAATTGATATGATATATCCATTTTTATAATGATATATTGCTTATTTTATTGTTTAATTTCAATGGTAGAAGATGGATTTGAATAAATGGCTCCTAAGGAGTATTGTAAAATGTAAAATTAGCATCGTTTTTATTGAAAAGTGATAAACTGAAGTCAAGGAAACAATCTGCCAACTGTGAAGTTTTTGAAGAAATTGTAATAACAAATTATATGCCTCAGAAAAGGCAAAACTTAACGCCAAACCTAAGCAAAACCTTTTTTCTTTTCATTTAACAAAAAAATGAAATAGGCTAAAAAGTATTAATGAAATTTGACAAACTGTAATGCACTAGATAGATTATTATATTACTCCATTGTTTCCTCTTTAAGTATACATTTTAAAATACAAACAAAGTACAAGGATTTTGGATAATAAATAATAAGGATGAGATGACCATGACAATTTGTAAGATAAATTAGAAAAAAATATTCCTGAAGATTGGAATAAAAATTCTTGAAGTGTTGGTCAAGCAAGAGGAATTATTAAATATGTAATTAATGGAAAAATAAAATCATTTTTAATGGAAGAAAATAAGCTCAAACAAAAAACCTTAATTAATACAAAATAAATCTTCCTGAATATAACTTTTTATCATGATTTTCTTATTTATAAATTTTATGTAAATTTAATTCACAAAATGAAATGCTTTGGATTGGTATTGATCTCAGTGGTGCCCTTTGGAACAAACTTTTGCCACAAATTATTGGAACTATAATTGTTTAGCTTTATTATATTATTATCTTTATTATAATAATAATTATTTAAAATACTTCATTAAACAAAAATACTGCAAGCAAATAACATTTTGGTTTGATTACTATATAAAGAAAATTGATGCTAAATATTTGTATTTATTTTTATGTTCCTTTCAGTTGCATTGGTTAATAGCCAAGTTCTGTTAAAAGGCCCTGAAACTGAGGGCTATGTTATAATATCAGCTGCAAAGGCTGAAATACTGCAAAGTGTCCACTGTCCAGTGTGGCGGGATAGGCAGCTGGTTGCAAAAACTACTTGGATTGGCTCTTTGCAATCTATGCAGTACTATGCCACTGTCTCTGCTGGAAAAGCTTCCTTAGATGGTATTTATATTATTATTTATAAGTAATAATACTTGTTCTTAACATATAGGATTGTTTAAATTTTGTTTTCTCAGTTTGCCCCATTTAATGATGTGACATTATTATAATTTCTGGCCGACGACACTTCAAAGTGGGTTTCTTTTTCAGAAAATATCATGTGGCTAAGTGTTGATAATATCAAAGAGAAGGATGACTGTGTTATTGCTGAATTACCTGATGTTCCACAACTGGTCGGTAGTGGTCAGTCTGTTGGAGGAGTGGTTAGTGAAACAGTTGGTCCGAGCAGTGCGGGCATTGAACCACCTCTTCAGGTCAATATTATAAATTAATACACTAAGTAGTTAATTTATAGTTAACAGTTAGTGCAAGAAAAGGCAGGATCTTATAAAGGATCTTTAAGGCAGGATGCTATAAAGCTTTTAAAAGCTATCAGCATATTTTGTAAAATTGAATGAACGTAACTGGTCACTTATAAAAAAAAATTGTTTTTAATAGTTATTTATTATACATTTTAAAAATATTTTTTCTTAGTCATAATTTCTCATATTTATGTTGATATTAATTGCCATTGTCAATATCTTATTGATAAAATTTTTTTTTTACTTTCACTTACCTATATATGAAATATATAGTAAGAGTAAGTATTGCGATAGTGAAAATACATGAATTTTCAACGGAAATACATGTTTTGAGGTCTCCTGAGTCCAAATAACGAATTCCCGCAAAATAGTGTGTGTGTGTGTTCAAAAGCGAAAAGTTAGCCATTCTGTCAACTGAAAGGCTCAGAAACTGAAGTTATGTGGTTTATAAAACTAGGTTTTTATTGCCTACCTTCACTATAATAAATAGACTTTTTGTAATTTTAATGGTCTTAATAATTTGTTATCTGTAAGCTTTAAGCTTTAGCTCCATTTAAAATGCTCTTCAAAAATTTTATAAAACCCCAACATTGCCAGAAAATAATTTCTATTCAAAGTAGAGGGGTAAGTGAAAATTGTGTGTTGCCCGTACCAGATTTTTTTTTTAATTTATTTAATAAGATTGATTTTTCAGTACTGCAACATTTATATTCTCAATGATTTTGATCAACTCAAATTTATCAAGTTTAGATTCTTTAAATTGGCAACCAATTAGAAAATATCTCTTAAGCACCATCATTTTAAGTATGGAAGAGGATACCAAGGGATAAAATACTGTTTTATATTATTTTGATCTTTATTAATGCTAATAAAAGAATAAGGAAACTTAATATATAAGTGGATTATCACAAATTAATTGAAATTGTTCTTGTTTTAGTTGCAAAGGATTGTATCCAGATGTAAATGTGAATTTTTCTATGTTTGTTATGGAGAGAACAGTATGTCACCCAGTAATTTTGCAGTCGTACCTACTCCACCATCCGAAGATAATTCATCACTTTGGGAAAACCAAACGCAACCTGTAGATGCCTTCACACTAATGCATCATGATCTAGAAGTTTGCACAAATTCATTACAGGTACAATGATCAATATATTTTAAACTTAGTACTCATTTTTGTTCTTAATTTTTTTCCATAAACCTTATTCAAAATAAGATTATTAGAGTTATTGATATGGTACATAAATATATAAAAAGTATTGGAATTGTTAGTTTACTTGAATTTCCATTAGTTAAACCTCTCTTTTGAAGCTTAGCTTTTATTTTGATATTATATATTTCCAATTTTGTATATGTCCTCTTTACTATTCTTTATACTATTATTATATCATTTTTTGCTAACGGACTCAATAACTGACCTACACACTTTCCCTGGCTAGTCACGAAGAATATTATTTAGGTTGTTCCAAATGTAATTATTTATACATTTATTTAAAATATAGTAGAAATCCATTGATTTAACTTAAATGTGGGAATGTTTATAAAAACATTAGTGTTTTTAAACATTGGAGAAGTACAATGTTTATTACTATAAAAATATCAATCGCTATATTTCAGCAAAACTAATTGCCAGCAATAAGTAAAAAAATACATTGTTGGTTTCTGATCAAAATATTTGTATTACTATCCCATATCAAAATATCTGAAAAAAACGTTTTGAATTTTTAAACAACCTAACTGTTATTTTTATTATAAGATAGAGCTCCATATACTTGAGAAGTTTTTTTCTGAGAATGCAACACTGGCATTTTTGAAATATTAACTGCCTTTTACGAACATATGTCAGAATTATACTAAAAGGAACACCTTCATCCTCAAATAACAAAAAAATCTCTCAGAATCATGATTATTTTTTATATTTAAAAAATGAGCCCCTTCTTCTTCTGCAATGGAGATTATAATTGGATGATATTGAATCCAATACAAAAACGTTATCAGATATTTTGTTAATTGTGAAGTTTGAAACTCTTCTGAGTGAGAGATGAGAGATACTTTCCCTATTAAGTTTGTAGTGGGGCCATATTTTTGGGCACTCTTGAGGCCACGAATGGGGAAGCAAGATTGTAGTGTGATTTGGTGATCCATTGTGGATCAGCTCTTAGGATGCATATGACTACTGTAGATCATATTGGAATGTTTATTTGAAAATTGTTATTTTTCCGTATTCCGTGATTAATCTGTGAGCTTAAGATTATTTTAATTTTGATTGAAATATAGTAATTTCTTCAAGTATTACTTTCTCTATTCTTCTTCATAAATTTTATGTATGTGAGTATATATTTTTTCTTTTTCCAGTATGCAATGTTGCTTGACATTGTGAATAACTTGCTGTTGTATGTGGAACAGTCAAGGAGAGAGGCATATGAAAGGGTTCAAAGAATGAGATTTCAGTTGCAGCTGCAATCAGTTGAAGATCAGAGGAGACCCATTCAGGAGGCTCAGACACGAGTGAGAGCGCTGTTGTCCAAGATAAAAGGTCTCGAGAAGGAGATGTATATAGTTCAAAGGGCATTAGGCGATGAGCCAAATTCACTTCACCTTATACAGCAGATCGAAAGCTTGGAAAGGCAGGTATGACCACAGTATAGTGCCATGTTCTAAAACTGATTTACAGAAGCTATTTTGTCGAACACTTTTTAATGAATTGTATATTTTAATAATTTTGAAGGTTTTTGTCTGCAAAGAATCATTGACTGTCCAAAGTGAGGAGTTAAATGCAATGTTATCCTGTTACAAAGAAACTCAATTAATGGGTCAGAAAAGTACTAACCATGCACGGAAGGGAGATTCTAGTGTTAGTGTTGTCCGAGCTTCTGAAATATGTTTCAAACATGCCCAGTGGAGGTTGACAGAAGCTGATGGTCAGCTTGGCATTGCAGATCTGGTTCTGAGTAATTTTCTGTAAGCTGCTTATGTAGTATGAATTATAGTGTGAATCCTGTTGATATGTTTTTGATTATGTGTTTTCTTGATTGGTTTTAACTCTTAATCTGAAATTTTTAGTTATACGAAAAATTCTAAAAGTGATGATTCAGTTGAACATTTATTAGAACTTGGTTATGTACGAATGACCAATTTGCTACCAAACCAAATTTATAAAGAAGTTCTCCAGCCTACTGAAATTCACAACAATATGCCTGTAGACAGAAAGGTATAAACATATTTACTGAACCTTTACCAACAGAGATTTAAATGATTTAATTTTATGAACAAAATATAATATCTATGAATGAATTGGCAATGCTTCAAGTTATAATTTTTCCAAATAATTTACAATGCTGTAAATTTGTATGACTTTTACATTAATTCAGGGCAGTAATGTGTGTAATATATTGTTAACGATGAATTTAACTATTTAGTAATTTTAAAACTGTGAAGTTTAAAATAAAAACTAGTGGAATCATGTGTGCAGTATCAAGTTGTAAGTTATGTATCGGAAGAAAGTTAAAAATGATGTTCTTCTTTTTAATGAATATTAACAAGAATTTGTAATAGCATGGAGATGGTTGACCGTAGTTTCAATTTGATAAAATATAAAAATACTATTATATGATATAGTATTATATATTGATGCCCCCAGATCAACTTCTCGAACAAAAATTAGATTAAAAAAATTACTAGCATTAAAATGAACATTACTTGATGAAAAATTGAAAAATGTATATTTATAAATTCATAAATAAAATAATACAAAAGGACTACTTTTTTGTGGAGAAGGCTTAGGCTAAGATTAAAAAGGACATTTGAGACTTCGGGATGAGCGATATTACCAAACATTGCATTTTTACATTATATTTTATTATCACTGTATCTCCTATATCAACAAATGGTTAGAAGTGTAAAGACATGTTATTAAAATTATTCCTTTAAATATATAAAATTTGAAATTAATTTGTGTTTAAGAGGGGAGGGGGTTCACTTGGACTATCAATAGATTTAACTCCCAAATGTATTTCGAGAGTACTATTGACTATCGCCCATTTCTAGTTAGACTCCACACAGTGCAGTTCAGTTAAGTTTGAGACTCTATCGCGTACTTATAGATCGTGGTAAAGTGTCAGTAGTTTTATTTGTAAAGAGCTTTTATTTTTACAAATAGAGTGACAGTCACCACTAGTACGATGTATATATATGCTTAAAAATTATATGGTCAAATGGAAAAATTGAAAAGTCAAAGGAAGGATTATGTCAGAAATATGAGTTAAGATAAATAAAAGAATTATAGTATTTATTATTAACACTTACCTATGCTTATCAGAAGTTTTGTTTCTTTGTTCTATATTAAATTTCTGGAAGTATAATAATCATCAAAGTTTAAAAATTATAATATTAAATATAATTAAAAAATAATTATAATATTAATATATTTATTTTTGAGTAAGAAGATGGTTCCGGGGTGGCGGTCAAAAAAAGACTAAAATTGTAAAAAACTATTTTAGCCTCCTTTTTTGACCGCATTCCCATATCATCTTACTCAATTACATACCACAGTCACCCATCAAGTATTCAATTAATATATTTTATTTTGATGCCTAGATGTAAGTTTATAAATAAATCATTAATAAATTTTATTATTAATTAACAATATTTTTTTTAAATAGAGAGCACTGCGAGTGTTTTGTCGGGAAAAGGCTCCTGTTGGAGGAATATCTGTGAAAGAACATTTTGAAATTAATTTGGTTCCTTTGACTATAGGTATGGATATGATTTTATTACTATTATTGTATCTATCAAGTTTAAAACATTTCAAACTTTATTTGTATTTTTCTAATTGTTGGAAGGTTTGACAAAGAAGTTTTTTAATAAGATGCTCAAGTTCTGTTTCCCTGAAAGAGATACAGAAGAAGGAGAGCCAGATGACAATAGTAGTGTGGAAGGTGGAAAGAAGGGAAAGATTCACCACAAGGGGAAAGAAGCAAGCTTTTATGTTCCTATTGAAAGAAAAGATGATGTTGAAAAAATGAAAGTAAGAATTTCATTAATATTAGCAAATATTATTAAAGTATGGATTTTCTGTGGCTTTTATGATTATGAAAGATTTAAAATTTATGTTTATAGTTCTATTAATACTTGAAAATAATTATATTAATCATTATAAGTACAATATAAGATTTGTAAGTCGTAAGATTTGTAATTGAGACCCGAGACGCTCCCGTGTCTCCCACCACTACACTGAGTTAGGGTGGCTCTTCCTCTCCTTAAGAAGACATGTTTCCTAGGCACTTTCCTTTATCAAATCATTACCGATCATCGTCCTTCTTATGCCTACAACCTTCTCCAATTTAAGTCTTCAATCCATTCCCTCACTACAAGATCCCGACCCTCTGACCTATACATCCCTTCTCATAGATCTGCCTCATTCCAAAATTCCTTTATAGCCCGCTCTGTCAACTTTTGGAATTCCCTCCCGATCAAAATTCGACATGCCCCTTCCCTATACACATTCAAAAACCTCCTATTCCAATTCCTGTTCCAAAAACAGTCAGATACCAGCTAACTATTAATATTATATATGTATTGTGTAGCAATCATATAATCATAATACTTGATACTAGAGATAGTACATGCATTACCTACTATTCACTATGAATTTCAATACATACATTTTTTTTTTTTTTTATTCATATTATAATTATAACTATATATATATATTATATATATATATATATATTCAAGTAAAGTTTTTTTATTTTATTCTATGAAATGAACTCACTGTATCTCTTTTTCGTTCTTCATTTCTCAAAGTGTATGTTTATGTTGTTCAACCCTTATATATAATTTTGTTCATAGTTCAAGTGATTCGTTCATAGTTTTAATTGTTTTGCTCATAATTTTAAATGCTCTTCTGTACATAGTTTTATCTGTATTGTATATAGCTTGTGCACCTAAGGTTTTCTTTACTTTTTATTTTATTTTATCAATTTTATTTATTGCTTCAAACGTTTAGGCCAGTAATATTCTATTATTTTGTACATTATTGTTATTCTGAAGGGACTTTGTCCCAGAATAAAGTTTTTTTTCTATCTATCTATCTATCTATAAATGTAAAAATAATATCGTATATGAAAATTACATAAATGAATGAAGTTTATTTAGATGAACGAATGAAGGTTATTTAAAAAAAAAAAATCCTTATTTTTTCAGGAACGGGCAGAAAAGAACAAGTTATTTATATATATTAAAATTCCTGAGGTACCAGTAAAAGTTAGCTATAAAGGAAATAAAGAAAAAAACATTGAAGACATTAGGGACTTCAGTCTTGTTATTCCAACGCTTGAGTATCATAATGTTACTTGGACCTGGTTGGATCTGTTACTTGCCATGAAAAGTGATTCCAGGAGAGTCATTTTATCTCAGGTTAGCATTTTCAAAGTAAATATAGGGTTGATAATATGTGAATAATTATCATTTTTGTTTTTTCTAAAAATATTTAAAAGCATTATCACTCAAACATGGTGAAGCCACAATGAGAGTAACATGTTTTGAGCTTGTAGGTATGTAAAGATTTTTTGAGTGGAAGGCTCAAATAATTTGAGCTCAAAACAATGAAGAAATATTTTACAATATTTTAAGTATTATTAATTTTTTTGTTGGTTTCATATGTGGTCATGATTTTATGTAGTCATTATATATTGTCAACATTTAAAAAAAAAAGCATTGTAATAAAATCACAATTTCATCCTAAGAATAATATGTTCACAGATCTACTTAAACCTATTGGTTGACTATTAGTGTAGTTAGCATCTAAGAATATTTAAATTTGGTGTAGTTTTCGAGTGCCTTCCAATACAGGTAGCAGCTCCTGGAAAGTACTATTTCATCCTATATCTACATATGAAAAAGTCTTGATTTTCATTTTGGGTTGGAAGGCAATATACTATACCACCAAGTTTCTGTATTCATAGGTGTCGACTTTACCTTACAATCTACTAATGATTTTAAGTAGATTCACAATTACATTTCTACTGGAATAAATACATACATACATACGTAGCATGATGTCCCGTTACAGAGACTGGGACTCCTCCAAGTGCCCGCCAGTTGGTTTTGTCTTCTGTTGCAGCTTTCCAGTTCCGTATGCCAAGCAGGGTTCTTGCGAGGTGCAGCTCCTCAATCATTACTTTTCAGGGTATTTCAAAGGCATTCATTCTGGCCTCATACCCTGCCCACCTTAGGCTGGCAAGTTTAATGTAGGTGACTACGTCGATGTCTGTACGAAGAGAACTACCAATTTTTTCTTTCCCTTCAGACATCACCCTCCTTTACTGGACCATACAGCCTTCTGAGGACTCCTCGCTCGAACACACTCAGCTTCATCTCATCACTTTTCGTCATCGTCCAAGCCTCCGAGCCATATGTCAAAACTGGCCGTACAAGGTTCTTGTATATAATTAGCTTGGTCTTCTTTGAGAGATACCTACTTCTAAAGTGTCGGCCAAGTCCAAAGACACATCTATTAGCAGCCGTGATCCTTCTCTGTATTTCTTGAGCCATGTCATTGTTGTTATTTAATTCAGGCCCAAGGTATATAAAGCTTTGTACTCTCTCAAGCTTGAAAGATCCTACCTCCAATGGAGAGTTCAGATCCATCTTACCATCAACTCTTATATACTTGGTTTTCTTCTCATTGACTTCTAGACCAAGTCGTCTTGCAGCTGCTTCAAGGACTGTCAACACTTCTCTGAGAGATCTATTTCTACAAGGATAGGTAGGATTATTTCAATTTCAATACAGTCTGTATTTTTTTTCTTAATTATTTACTAGTCAATATGAGATGTTGGATTGATGATGAGGGAGAGGGTAAAAGTACATTTGGTCTCCAAGAGGTATAACATTGAAGGAATGCACGAAAAATAATAGCATACGAAGAATTGAAGATATGAAACTAACCTATCTCGGTAGAGATAAGGGCTAGCTAACCCAAACTCACTGTTACTGATCAACACCTATAAACAAGAGATTTAATCAGTACATTAATGAAAAATAATAAATGTTTTTAATTATGGTTACTAAACATGAACCTTTTTATTAACTAATAAACAGGTTAAAATATTTTTTATGGAAGTTAATTGATTTAAAAAATATAATGATAGAAATTGATAATGATAGTCGAAATATTAAAGGTTTAGCAATAAGGTGCTTACGTTGGGCTTTAGCATTCTAGGATTAATACTTAGAGAAAAATAATTTTAAAATTGATAAATTTATTACCAAATATTGTTTCAGGCGATTAAACAAAAGCTTCAGATTAACAAATTCAGAACAGGTTCTGATGAAGGACCATCTCCTCAAGAAGAGGACAAAGCAAGGATGCTGTTTGGTAATCGCCATATGGTAATAATTTAAACATTTGCTAGTATATTTTCGTTTTATTAAATAAATTGATCTTTAAGTAAAGTGAAGACAAAAAACTCTGACTGGTTAAACAAAATGAATCTTAAGGTGGATAAACTGAGTGTTTGAGATCATTCCATATTACCTTAAAAAATGGACCAAATCCCTAAAACTGATAAATAGAAAATATTGTTGTTATATCTTCTCCTCACCTTGAAACTATTTTAGGTGAACACCTTGCCTCATGCTCTCTTGTCTTATATTATCTGTTGTTTTTCTGATCTTACCAGCCCTGATTTTATTTACAATTCTATTAAGCAAATTTGTCGATCTTCACATCCAGTAAAATAGTCTGATATATTGGAAAAATGAAAATAATATGTGAAAAAGACAAATTTTGTTTGCTTGTATATATATATATATATATATATATTTAAAATTATGCAGTTTATTAAAAGTGTAAAGTTTAGCCAACTTGTGTAAGTTATTAAAAGAGAGATATTGACCCGTCAAGGTTGAAAACCTTTGATGTAGATCAGTGAGGAGTTATTATAGTGGCAACTTGTTAAAATATGCTTCAAAAGATTATTAACTTGTCCATCTTTTATAATTTTTTTTTTTTTTAATCACGATCATATTATTTTCATTGTGTGAAGAATAAGAGCTAGTCATTTTTTCTTGTTTGGTTTTTCTTTACAAACATCGTTGATTTTCTTAGTAATAACGCAATATTTTAGTACCAAATATATCATGCTACTGAATTGAATTTTCATATTGTTTTTTTTTTTTTTCAGTGAAAAGCTCACGATTTCTCAAGAGATTTAATCAGTACATTAATGAAAAATAATAAATATTTTAATTATGGTTACTAAACATGAACCTTTTTATTAACTAATAAACAGGTTAAAGTAGTTTTTATGGAAGTTAATTGATTTAAAAAATATAATGGCATTTCAAATACGGATTTAATGAAAACAAATTTTCTCTTGTGTTAAGTACTTTAAGTTTATTTTGAAAATATTTGAGATAAATTGTAAGTAATAGTAATAAAAGATCCATCCAAAGTTATCTCAAAAGATAGAATGATTTAGATCAATGAAAACAGACAAGTTTATTATTGACTGAAAATTTATGTAGCGTAAATATACTCACAATTTAATGGTGTACTCACAACTTTTTTCTATAATACAGGAACGTTGGAATCTAATATGATATCTGTCATATGAATACATTTCTGTAATACAGATACAGAGGGTACATACACATTAGAATTTTTGTACTGTGGTATCTATATAAATAAAATAAAGATTTTGTCTGTACATTGAATAGAATCAAACCGTTTAGTGATATATTTCCGTTTCATACATTGCAGACACCAAATCCACTTTTAAAAAATGTCTGTCTGTATGTCCGGATTGAAACGAAATTTTGTCAGGGGAAGCTCAGCAATGGCTTATTGTACACTTTTGAAAATTTGACATTATATTAAGGTTTGCTTGACTTAAAACATAGGCTTTAAATGAAAACAAAATATTGAGTAGAACCGAAGTTATGAATTATTGAGTAATTTGTCTAAAAATCTCGATTAATGTTGGTAATAAATGTTAATAATAAACATATGTTTGTAGGTTAAAGAACATCTATATAAATAAAATAAAGGTTTTGTCTGTATATTGAATAGAATCAACGCGGTTCATGATATCTTTCCGTTTAATACATTACAGACACCAAATCCACTTTTCAAAAAGTTTTTGTCTATCTGGATATCCTTATTAGCCAACGAAATTTTGCCAGGAGTAAGCTCGGCAATGGCTAATGGTAAACTTTTGAAATGTTGATATTATTTAGGTTTGCTTAACTTAAAATATAGGCTTTAAATGAAAACAAAATATTGAGTAGAACCACAGTTATGAATTCTTGAGTAATTTGTCTTGAGATCCCGGTTAGGCTGTTACTTACTTCGATTCCCATCCCAACCTACTCTATTGCGAGCCACATTTAAAAGTTGTACTACTCCACTGATGGAAAAAATTATCACAACTCAACGGGAAAAATCCGGAATACCTAACATCTTTAACGCGTTGCCGCATAAAACAGGTAAAACACATTCATTTTTCAACTTTGTTCGATCTTCCCGTTCAAGGTGTCATTTGATTCAACTTCCCGAGCCTCACAGATGTTGTCATATACATTTTTAGGATCAACGGATTAGTCGAAAATTCACCCCGCCCGCCACAATATTGAGATCAAGTTCTAATTTTACACGGGTGTAGGTGACTCAATGTCCAATGTTATTTTGGTTATTTTGCCAGCGATATACTCAGCAGAGTTTAAAGAAGTGGAGAGACTACAACTCTTTATGATTATTTCAATCGACTCCACAATCTCCTCGCTTCATCATAACTGAAAATTAAACACTTAATTAATTTTAATGGATTGGTGGTGGGTCGGTTTATAGTAGTGTGATAACAAAAAAAATAGCCAGAATAACAAAAGTACTTTGTTAATGACTATTGCGAAACCTCGATTTCATAAGCCCCCGCCATAAAAATTTCAAACAACTCCCCCCTCTCTCCCTGACGCAATTTTAAGATATTGGAAATTTCGATCCCCCCCTCTCTCATACTACAAAATCCATCTCAAAAAAAGATGTCTCAATTTTAACTATACAGCCGTCAACGACGGGTGCATCAGTTAGTATATGTATAATTATAACATAATTACAATTAGTATATCTCTTTTCTTTTTTGTCACATTAATGATGTATTCACTATAGAATCGTTCAGTATAGCCACCTCTCTTATCAACTTATAACTTGATCACGTTCTACATCTTAAGTTCACTTATCTGTTGAAATTCCTAAGTAACACTAACTACATGCTTTATTTGATAAGTAACAATTTTAACTGATTTCTTGAATTATGAAAATGTTATAAGTAATTAAATTAGTTTTTTTAACTGTTTTTCTTATGTGTATTATATATTATTATGTGTGACCAAAGGCCTATACTTTTAAATTGGACATAATGTAAGTAGAGGTGGGTACAAGCAAGTGCCTACAACTTTTTAGTAGTTAAGCAATATCGGATCTTACATTCAATTTGATTTGAACATAATGGTAACTTCACCATTTAATGGTATCTTAAAGTTAATCCATAAAAGAAAAGTCCACTGTTTAAGGAAGCTGATAGAAAACTATTGTTTTTTTGTTACAGTAGAACAAAACTGATGGCTACAAGTCAACAGATACAAGTTAAGATTCTTTCTTTTAAAATGGAAAAAAATAATAAATCAAAACAATGTTCTTATTATACATATTTAAATAAAGATAAGTTTTGGTCTTCCTAAAATAAATTGAAATTTAGGATCTAAATAAAGAAGACATGTTAAGGAACATATTGGTGATTTCTCTTCATTGAGGGGCTGTGAATAGAAATCCTTTGGAAAACTTTTTTCACCATGACATTGTTCTTTTAAAATATGTTTTTATATGAATAAATGAAATATAAATTGAAAGAACTCAAAATAAAACCAATTAATCACATAATCTGTTATAGAAACAAATTGTACCTAAAATGTTTCGTTATGCTGTTCTGTTCCTAAACAAAAACCTCTGCAGTATTTTATTGTTTCATTCTGCTCATTAGAAGATTAATGATTCACACCCTTAAGCTTATGTTATTACTGATAAATTTTCTTTTCTTATTTTCTTTCATTCCAAAACTTAATCAGGTTAACGCCCTTCTTCCATTCTCATTGTACTTTCAAGTAACTGATTTTTTTTTATAATTATGTATGATATATTTTCTAATGTATACATTTTTTATTTGTTCAAGCCTGGAGAAAATAAGAGCCTGAAGCGAGGAATATTCAAGTTTCAGAAGTAGATAATGTTATGCTTGTATATTTAGTGTAAATAGTAGTTATAAAGTGTATAAATTATATAGATTTACAATCACATTTATCCACTGATTATAGATATAAAAATTATTTGTTTAAAAAAAATTACTTAATTTTCGGCTTACAACATATTGCACATTTAGCATGAAAGAGGCTCCTCAGAAATTTTTATGTTAAGACTCATACTAGATCAAATCAATATACATAATAGCTGATCTACTAACAACATGCACTAGAAGAAATAACCTGGAGACTCCCTTTAGAACTTTAGTTATGTCTATTGTTCCTTTAAAAAAAAAAAAAAAAAAAAAAAAATGTATTTTGGAGTTATAAACCTTTCATTCTGGATGTGCAAAATGCGTAAATAAAGTGTATTTTATGTATCTGCATATTTATGATTCTTTATGTTCTTACATCTTTATATTTCATTAATGTAAGAATCACTCGATTGTTAGAATTTTATATAGTTGTACATAATTAAATAAGCCTTATTTTATGATCATGATAATTTTCTCCCATGTGATTGTTAATTTGTAAATATGTATAATAAGCCAAAAAGATCGCACATTACTTTGTTTATTTATGAAACAATACTTTTGTTATACATAATGTTTCCTATTTTGTTTAACATGTAAAAATATTACATTGAATAAATACATATTTAAATGCTGAGCTTAATAAACATTCCAGGTTTCCGTTACTTTGTGTCCTTTAAATTTCTTTCTCGTTCTTACTCCTGTGACCAATGTATTACTTTCAGGGAATGCAGTTTGACCATTGAACATTGTGTCCTCATCTAAAAATAAGTAGTATTGCATTATGTTTAAATAACTTCCTTCACAAGTCAATAACTGTCAATACTTACCGGGTAAAAACCGCACAGGTTCATACTGAATCTGGAGGTTTGGTGGCAAGTCAATCTTTTTCATTTTTTCAAGAGGTAGTGTGGTGTCAACAGGTGTCTGGTAAAACTCCAGCAGATCATCTAAACACAAATTTAATAGAAATCTTGAGAAATAAATTAAGTATTTTATGCAAATAATTATAGATATATATTTGTGGTACCATAAGTCCTAATCATGTGCAATATAGAATTAGGAATTCCATGTTTAAATTCATCAGAACATGCAACCAACAGACTGTATCTTAAAGAAGGATTTAGGATAGGTTCATTCTTATCAGCTTGTCTGCCCAGTACATTTCTAAAAATATCTTCTAAGCGATTCCTTAAGTCTGCTGGAGGCTGATAACTTTTGTGACACCTCAAGAATCTAATGTTTAATCATAATTGTTAGTTGATAAGGAAACATTCAAATATAAATAAAATAACTTTAATATAACCTACCCTTTACATGCTAAAGATTCTTCTGTAGATTGTAATGTGCGACAGGCAGGTACTTCAACCTTTTTAAGCTTTTGTTTTATCCTTTTGGCATAATTTCGAAAAGGTATCTAAAAGAAAATCATTTGTAAACAAACATCAAATATCCACTGATAAAGCTGCTAATAGAACACTATGAAGAAACATATAACATCTAATTTATTGTAGTAATATGAGAAAAATAATGCATCTATAGGTATTAGAAAACTTACGATAGAAGTTTTTCTAAATAATGAATTAATTTCATTTAAATTATTTTTTGACAGCCCATGCTTTATGAGTGCAGCCATGATAGTATTGCTTAATACCACGTGATCAATATTGACCAATAGAATGCGCCGAAGCGCTGCGCTTGTTGTCCTATCTATCCGCCATTTTCCAGTCGCCATTGAAGGAGAAAACCCTTCTCAATGGGTCTACAGTAACGTTTTGGATTTTGTGGATTTAAGTAGTTAATTGGGTGTATAGTGGCTCTTTAGTTTTAATTTAAGATGGATAAAGCATGACCAACCCGAATAACCAAACCAACGGGGCTAGTTTGGAGGATTGCCACACTAATTTCTTTGCTCTGGTAAGCTAACTTGTCTTAGACTAGCCTAGTTTTATATTACGAACTTTCAAATCTCGTACAGTTATTATGTATTTGGTGGTGTTTTGTGTTTTTTCAATACTGCTGCCCTATGGAGGGTTATTCCTAAATTCTGTCTCTCTGTTTAACATTTTGATGAAATGTAATCTGTAGTCTCAGAGCGTTGTGTCACGCTGAAAGTATTTAACAGTTGACGACAGTATTTTTCAGGATTATTTGAATCCATCTTGCCCTAAAGTTGGTTGCTATGTCTTTTTTGATAAGCATTATATGTTTCTGTTTTGTAACTTCTTGGGATTTTATAGGTGTCAGAACCTAGCCTTGAGCACAAATGTTTCTTAAGTTTTCTGAAGATCCTAATTTTTAATGTATATGTCTATAAAATCTGTGTAATTATATTAATTCAAATGTCAATTACGTTTACATACAAATTTTTCAAGTAGTAGTTTTATTTTCTTCATGTATAAATCTTGATGATAAGTTATTACCTATTGTAATCTGTTATAATTTCAGATTAGATATTGAGTTTAGTTGGTTAGGTACTGGTAAACAATATGTTTACTGGTGTCTATATTTTGAATCAAGTAATTGTGTACAGTACTCTGTCAGTTTATTGCTTTAATTTATTCCTTCCTAGTCATGATGAATTTTACCTTTTTATCTTAAAGACTTGGTTCATATCATTTATGGTGGTTAGTGAATTTATACTTTTATTTTGTTCAATTTAGATATTGCATTATTCCTGTTCTTCTATGAATAATACCTAGTTTGGTGTAGCATTAATTGTATTTATCAGAGTTGATTTATTTTTTATGTATGTTTTTTTAGTTGAAATTTTCCCTTTGCAAAGCAAGATAACTAGAAAAGTAGGTCTACATATTGAGGTTGGTGTGTGCTGCTCTCCTGTGGCCATAAGATTCAGAACTTAAATTTTCTGTTATTGAAGCTTTTTTTTGATAAATTAAAAATTTGATTTTTGATTTGTTTTTGTTATTTGCTATTACCTTATCTCCTACACTATTTGTTTGATTTGTGTTATCTAGAAATGTCCCTTTTGCTTCTCAACCCTTATGAAACAGGTCATTGACTTAGTATAACACAATTGAAACTCTTTCAGGTGCTCTGAAAAATAATATTGTGAGATGACTTTTTAATTAAAGATAAAAATTATTAATTTCAAATTTGTAGTACCATTAATTTAATATAAATACATTATATTTTATATAAAGATTTTATAATTTTTTTTGTTTAAATCAAATTTTAAGTTATTTGAATTTCGTATAATACACATTCATAAACTTCTCAGTTCATCAATTGTCATTAATAATTATCTTGAATATATTGTGCAATAGGTTGCATTTTATATAAACAATGTGGACTAAGGTGTGTGATGAATATATTTCTCCCTTAATACATATTTAACATTCTCAGTGTTTAAAATATAAATTTGTTATCAAATTTGATTCATCTATGTTGTCCAATTAGATATTAGTGCAGTTTTTAGATAATTTATATTGGATTTTTCTGTTAAGTAGATATTGATTCTTATTTGTATTTTATTTCCTATCAGTTCTTGCAAATTATTATTAGTAGTCAATGATTTTTATATATTATTTGATAACATTTAAAAGTTGCTTTTAACTATTCTTTTGTTTTTTATCTTATTGATTATTAAAAACTGTTCGATTTTCTTTTGATGTTATTGTAGTTGTTGATGGGTTGTTTATCTTTTCGTTATTATCTACTAAGGTCTACTTTCCCTCATGTTCATAATTTTTAATAGATCATTCAGCATCTGGTGTTATTATTTTTTATTTTATTATTAGTGAATTTTTAAACTAAGTATATACTTATAAGGAAAAGGTAGAATCAATCATTATTTATATATTTTAAATGTTTTAAGTAGAATATTTGCAATATCTTTTGTTATCCTCAGCGTTGCTTTAGTGACTAAGGATAAGTTTGCTACAATATTTTCTTGGACCACCCGAAAAAAATCTAGGTCTCTTATAGTAGAAATGTTGACATAATTCACATTCTCTAAAACAGGTAACAGCATTAGCACAAGGTCCAGAGGCATTCTCCATGTTCTTATTACTTTTTAAATTTTATATCCAAGTTATTGTACTTTAAAATTTCTTAATTTATTGTAATGTTAATTTATCATAAAATCATTACCGTTATTGTTTTACAATAATGCATCTGTTTTAATCTTGAGTGATTTTTATTTAATGTTTAGCATCTTTTTTCTGAAAGTGCATTTTTATAGATCCTCTATTTGGAATTTCTTTTTAGTAATGTGTAATAAATGAATTGATAGTGCAGGCATTAATTTAAAACCAGTATTTTTAACCTTGCTGATATATAATACCTCTGTGTTTATAAATAATGCTTTGTTATTCCTTTGGTGTTTACAACCTCTTTTAGTTTTCGATTTATTGGTAATACTTAAAAGATTTATGGATTCTTTAATTGTCTATTCTACTTGAAAGTGGCATTCAATAAATGTACAGACCAGAGTATATAATAACAGACAATGTTGGCTTCATTGGTACAATCCACTACTAAATCTGGACCTCCTAAAGTATTCTGTATCTTTCTACTTAGTTGTGCTGCAGCAATTTCCTACTAATTTATGGTCGTTATCTTTTGATTACATGAGTTATTACTGTGCCTAAATACAAGATAATAATTTCAATTTCCTCTAGATTTACTTAAGCATAATTTGTTTTATCAAAAATAGAATGTTATTAGCATTAGTGTTTGAGAATGCTGTTATTGATATTTTTGAAAATTTATAGAAAGTTACATCATAGCCAACTAAATTATTTTATTAATCCTTATTTGCGCTTTTTCATTGAAATTATTTTTTATTTTACAGACCGACTTATGTGGGATCAAGTGGCGTAAAGTGGTATGGGTTGGAGGAGGTTTAGGAGAATGGGGCGAGCCTGGAAATCCCCCTTCGGATCCCCTCGAGGACCCTGTCCTTTCCTCATACGTAAAGTGTATTTCGGCAGATATGCTTTGTGTCTGGCGGCGGGTCGTGGCTCCCACCTCTCGTTCCCCTGGAGATATGTTCGACCAGCTCGGGCTAACCGGACCGCCTCCTCCTCCTCCTCAAATGTCCCACCACCCTCCTCTATCGTTGGCTGCTGCCAAAGAACTTTGGATATTTTGGTATGGTGAAGAACCAGATCTGTCTTCTCTTGTTGCTCCAGAACTTCTTTCAGCTGGTAAGTACTAAATTTTATTATATCTCATTTCCCTCAGTTTTATATAACTTACTCTTATAATGTATTTGATATAATTCGACATTAGTTGAATGATTTAGTTTTATTGTTTATTTTTTTATATTTGAAGGATTTTAAGATAAAAATTTTGTTTGATTTTGAAAAGGAATTAATTAGGAGTGAGTGTCTTTATTATAAGTATTCATGTTAAAATTTTAAAATAGTGTTATAAAGAACACAATATTTTACCTTTTTGATTAAAATGTACGTCCTTATATTTGTTTTTATAATGCATCGCATGTAAAGTGATTTTTAGCTTCACTAAGTGAACAATTTCAGATTATTTATTAAATCAAATCTTTTATATATATATATTTATTTATATTTATATTTATAGGGTTTTACGTGCACTTATAATTTTTAGTGCTGAGGATAGTAGTATTTAGATATGTAGTTACTTTTTAAAGTAATAAATCTTTTATAAAATATATATATTAAAAATGCAATGTATCTCAATGTTTAACCATTAAAATATCTTCTATTTTTCAAATGTTCTGATTAATGATTTGTATAGAATTTATATGCATATTTTAGGAACCATTAAATCAAATGATGGATATCAAAAAAGTAAATCTCTCTTTAAATAATTTTGTTAAATTGTTGTCTTAAATACTTGAGATTAAAGATTAAGTGTTATGAGCTTAAGTAATCAGGTGCAACTGATATTTTTAATTCCCCTTGTTTAATTTTATCAAAGTTGGCCTTTCTGACCCAGAGTGATTTTATTGTCTGTGAACTGATTTTGGTTAAATGTGAAATATGAGAACATGAGAAAAAAATTAAAATTGAGTATTTGTGAACAACTCCTAGTTTTAGGAATTACTCCTGTGTGACCTAAAATGTCTATATTATTTATCTTATTAACATTAATAACCTTTAGTACTTTTTTTGTTATTATTATTTATTCAAATTTTTATGTTATTGGATGAGCAAACATTTTTTTTTATAATCCTCCATTTGGTAAGAAGGGTTAAATAAGAAGAAAGGGTAGTTGGCAGATACAATGTAGAAGTAGGACGTTTATTGTCCCTATTGGAGGAGGGTCGGTGGGAACCCACGTTGGTAGGGCGGGAAGCGATCGTAAACCCTATTAGGGCTACTTAATAACCTAACCCTGTTAGCCCTTATTTATTTTTCTCATACCTTTTACAATCCTTTAGGTCGTTTATACAAACACTGTATTTCTTTAAATTATACAAGTTTCAAATGACTATAATTTCATAGAGATTGTTTTAAATTCATATTGCTTACAAATTATTGGAAGTGTTATTGTATGAAATTCACACATTTTCTCATTTTTCTAACCCATGCAAAGTTTATTCTTATTTCGTTTATGATTGTTATTTCCTGTTACGTTCCATTTTTTTGTCACTACCACTGCTCAACTCAGTTACGTATCGTGTAAGATAGCCCTGAAAAATTCTTGTGCATTACGCTAGATCTATTTTCGGTTGATGATAACGCGATGAACTTTTTGTTAGTTGACGAACATACAGACAGGCGAATATTCTCTCAATTAAGAAAGAATTCAGGCGAGCGCTATTGAAGATTGTGCGTGTATTAAGGCAGCGTTGCCGTGGCGGGAGGCAACACTGTCTCCTTCAGCCAGTGTCGTCCCCTACTTGATTTTTTTTAATTTATTTTTTTTTATCTAGGGTGCGGGAAGCAGGGCCAACGTTTTGTAATGTTTATCGGACTCCTTTTTTCTAACTCTATTCATTACTTGTAACTCGCTGGTACAAAACCTATTGTCGGAAGAAAAATCAAATGAGGGCGTCAAGTTGAAAAGTTTTTTGTCCTAAAATATAACAGTCTTCTTTAAAAAACAAAACATATTTTATGATCTATGTATTTTTTATTTAGACACATTTGTTCCAATGTTCAAAATTTTCTATTATTTCCTCCTATACGCAATGTTTTGTTCATATCTAAATTGCTTTTTTTTTTTTTCTAATAATAAAATCTCAATTTTTCTTAAACTCCAGTTATTTATGGAGATTGAATCCTAAACATCCTCGGTAATTAAAATTTTGTTTTTATATCCAATTGTTCTAAACTTTAACTAACTAATTTACTTTTATGATTTTTAAAATCTATTTGAGAGATATTTCTTTAAACACAGACGTTTCTCGTGATGTAACAATATTCATGTAATTGTATCCCTACGCTTTCTTGCAGGTGTGAATGACCTCAAGATGTTTCCTTGTTCAACAAGGAGGAATATCTACCGGTACCTACTCTGTGTTGTTATTACAAAAATCATAAATGATAAATTTTATTCAGTTTATGTTTATTCTTTTTTGCGTTATACATTAAGTAAAAGTAATTCATTGCCTGTATTATGTTATCAGAACATAGTTTTACTGTATTAGTTAAATATAATTAATATTTTTTTAAATTTTATATGGGGGAGGGAGATAAAATTTGGTAAATGATGTAACTAACCGTGCTGGTTGGGTATCGACATGACCTCTGACTCCCCTCTGTTGTAGGATTGATCCTCTTACCTTAACTGTTGGTTGGACATAACTCTCCTTATATTCCTGTTTGTATAAATATTGTTTCTACATCTATAATATATCGGAGAAGTAAGCTTATGTTTTCTTTGTTCAAATAATTTTTCTTAAATTGTACAAATAAGTAGAATATCATCATTTAAAAATCTCAATTTAAAGTAAATTGTAATATTATTTATGTATGAGGAATTTCGTTTTTTTTTTTTTTTTCCGTTATCAGTCATAGGTTACTTAGTAGAATGAATTGTGGAGCTTTTATTAAAACTAAGTCAGAAAGAGGCATTCAAAATAAAATAAACAGAAATTATAATTTTAAAATGTTTACTGAAGTTTAAGAAAAGAATTAAAGTCAAAATAAATATTTGAATTTTTTTGTTTTGGTTTTCCTTATAAAGAAAACTTTTTGTAAATTGACGAAATCAGCAGCATGTCGCCATTAAATGACGAAATGTGAACCAAATTACAATTGTTATACCATTTACAATTAAGTTTATTATTTTTTTCACTTAATTTTTTTCCAATAATCAGTCGTAGGTTTCTGTAAAATTAAATTGAATTCTCAAGTTCTTATATATATATATATATATATATATATATATATATATATATATATATATATATATATATATATATATAGAGAGAGAGAGAGAGAGAGAGAGAGAGAGAGAGTTTATGGTTATATTAATTTATATATAAATATACATATTTATATTATAAATATACATGTAAAAACAAATTAGTTCATTCGGAAATGTTTTTCATTTGTCCTAATAATAATCAGTATCAAACAACCACAGCGGTGATAACTGAAAACCGATATCTCTACGGCATGTATTGATATCCGAGTTTAACGATATTTAGCGAGAACAGTTACAGTATAATCTAGCACTCCTTATTGCACAATTTTAATCTACCTCTGTGTAAAATTTATATAATTTTTCAAAATTTCTTCTATTTTGATTATTTCGACGGTTGTTGTTTGTTTTTTTTTTTGTTTTTTTTTTACGCTTTACTATATTCACATCAAAAGTATTTTTAATATTCCAGACCAATTACGTATCTATTGCAGTCAAATACGTATCTATTTTACTGAGTTTAAGTAAATAAATCTATTGAGCTTGAACATGTTTTGTCATTTTTATAGTTGTTTAAAAAGTTGTTACGATCTGTTTTATATACGTGACATGATGTCAAACGAACCAGTTTTATATTAAATATTTTTTCATGGTTCTATGAAATTGTCATTGTTAAATATTACTCTTCATATTATCATATCGATAAGCAATCTGCAATCGATAAGCTCATCTTTTATCCTTGATTTTAGATCACTTAATCTATGGCTTACGTCACGTACATGTTGACAAATAATAAAACAAAAAAAATCAAACCTTCGCAGGGTATATTTTGGTGCATAATTTTATCACATTTTAAGGTAATTTAATTAATTGGTATCTTATAATTTTTCATAGCGTAGCTTGTATTGCAAAAGGTGATAATAAGCTGCGATAAGATTTTGATAAGCGTAATCATCAAATCGTAAAAAATGAAAGCACTTGATTATTTAAATGAGTTTTAATCCATCTATCCGAGGTATTCTTATCATTCAGTTAAGAAATTGATTTTTAAAAAATATACTGTTTTAACTGTTGTCTTCGTTCCCCATTTCATAACAATTGTAATACAAATACAACTACGATGTATCTCGTTCTCCTTTTAACAATTTTAATGAAACTTGAAGAATTTGTAACGGCAGCTAAATGGCAATGTGGAACAAAACTTTTTTTCTTTATTTAAAAAAAATCTGGTGGTATCTCGACGTTCGATCCATCATAAAATTGTATGACAATATCTCCATTTTTCATGTATTTTTGATTATTTTTGTCCACCAGAAATGTTCAATAAATTGAATTATTAATAATTTTAGATGATTATTTTATATGGGTTGAAGAAATTGAAAAGGTTATTTCTTTAGCAGGATTCATTGAGGTTTATGGAAATTTTAATTATTGTTTTTAATGCAAAAAATATACATACAGATAGTTCTAATAGTTCAAAGAAATGTTTTTAATATTTAGATCACAACATATGATTTCCTCTCGATATGAATTCAAATGTAGATGGAGCGCTGTTCTAATATTAGATTTTAAGGATCATTGCTTATAGCCAATATATACATTTAATTTAATTTTATAAACACATGTGCTTGTTTAACACTGCTTATATCATTAACTTAGCAGATATTATCCTAAAAGTTCATACATAGTTTTATTTTTAAATTTCATATATAGTTTGTTATTTTCATCATTTGTACAATGAATTATTTCCCTGATGAAATTATAATACAGTAACTGAGAATTTTCTATTATTACAGAAACCTCACTCATTTTTATCATTTTATTAAAATTAAATGAATTTTTTAACCGTACA